AGAGGGCAGTAGGTAGGGGGTCATTAGTGGCCCAATAGCACATTTTTTGCCCTGGACCCCGCCAACAGGCTAATCCAGCCACATCTGTGTGTCCGTCTGTCATAATATCAGAAAACATGTCGTATCATGAACCAAGAACTACTGCCTACAAGCAGATAGGCTGTAAATTATACAGTAGTAACACATAACAGATTGTAAAAAAACATTTTCCTTCAAGTAGGGAGATAGAGTTAATAAAAGAATGTACTCAAGTAAAAACTGGACCAAAACCTGTCCCTGTCCAAAAGCACCCATTCCAAAGCAAATAGGATGCTGCCAGGCAAGCAGGCAGAGAGTTTATCTTTCCCACTGAAGCCTTCAGGACTACTGGCAGCAGACAACAGTGAACTCCTCTCCTCTCACTGCTTTGCTCATTCTCTCCACCTGTGTCTGCATTAGGTGGGGGGGGGGGGGCTCTATCAACTGCAGGATTGCTTTCTCTTTCACTGTGACACAATCAGCCATTCCAATAAGCTGACAGTATCATCTTCTCCACCCTGTGAAGGTGCACAGAGAAGACAGTTTTTCTTTGTGGGGGGCAGGATGTTATCGCTAAGGTCACCTCATCAAGAGGGATGACAACTTTCTGGGAACGCCACATCTGTTAGGGGTGGGCGTATCGATCTAAATATCGATAGTATCGATACCAAGATGAGTATTGGTATGAGATCGATACTATCGTGATGAGATCGATACTTTTGTTGCAGTTTCTCCAAGTCTGTGAGCGCCGCTCCCGTCACAGTGCAGAGCACAGCCAGGCACTCCTCCCCCGGTCGGACGGAGCAGTGGGAAAGGAGCGCCGCAACGCACAACCCCCCCCGACCAGCAGGGGTATCAGAATTGGTATCGGCGATACTGACTGGTATCGAATCGGTATCGGATCGATACCAAATCTTGCAGTATCGCCCACCACTACTGATTAAAAGGTACAGCTCAAATCTAGGCCTGGGTTTTATGTTGCTTTTGTATGTGGACCTACAGTAGAAATGTAAAGGTTTTATATGTAACTTTTAGAAAACTGTTGTTAATAGTGAAACTAGTGGCCATAAACTGAACTGCAGTCAGTGTCCTGTTGTGAGCATTGGCCAAAAGTGACATACACGAGCCTGAACGCGGGAAAATACAATAGTCATATTTAGAACATGTTCTAAACTCCATGCTACTAACTAGCTTGCAGTTTACAAGTTAGTTTGTAACTTTGGCTAGCATGGCAAAGTGTTGACACTGAAGGGAAGTTAGGTTTAGCAGTAGGGTTTAGGGTTTATATTGTAATGTCAAGGCTGATTTTTGAAGGCACACCACGGACACACCGTTTAACTGAATGCACAGATTTGAATAACTTAACATCCTGAACTACTCTGGATTGTTCTCACCAATTTTGAAGTTTGAAATTCACTAGGAGAAGTTTGTTAAAATAGAAGCCCTGAAATTGCCGGAAATGGCGTCACAGATTGACATTCGATTCAACCTTGCCAACTAATCAACTAATATCAAATAATCAGCAATATTTTTTATTGTACTGACCAATTTTGAAGTAGATCCTATTGATACCCTATGAGGAGTTTGTTGAAATACAACACAAAAAAATTGCTGAAAATCACCACAAAAGTCAAAATGGCCTACTTCGACGGCACGCCACGGAGGCCAAGAGGCTTTTTTGTACGTCCTGACACGATACATGCCTGCCAATTTTCATACATGTCCGCAAAACAGGACACCGGGGCTGGTATTCTGAAAGATTGAAAATTGTAATGGTCAATGGACCTGTACTTGTATAGCGCCTTTCTAGTCTTCCGACCACTCAAAGCACTTTTATACTACATGCCACATTCGCCCTTTCACACACATTCACACAGCGATGGCAAAAAGCCAACTACAAACAGAAACTAACGCATTCATACACATTCACACACCGATGCACAGCATCGGGAGCAGTTGGGGTTCAGTATCTTGCTCAAGGATACTTTGACATGTGGCAGGAGGAGCCGGGGATAAAACAACAAGGTGATGCTCACCGCGTTGCTACGGCAATACAGTTAAATAAAAATTTAGAACATTCTAAGGGTCTTCTGACCAAACTTCAGCAAGATATGGTCAATCTGCTGGGAGAAATACATAAAAGTTTAATAAATTCCACCACAAGATGGCGCTACCACTTTTACTGAATATTATCACATAGATGTGTTCAGGTTGGGACTCTTATCAGACACCTAAAGTTTGGTGCCGAATGGACGATGTATTCTCACGTAACAGCAAATTCATGTGCGTCCACATTTGACGCCACGCCGCGGACACGCCCTTTAATGAAATTCCTGACCAAATTTCAGATGGATCTGTAGAACATGAAAGTATAAAACATGATATTTCCTGTTGCCACTAGGTGGCGCTATCACTATATCTGAATATTGTCATGTAGACATGTTCAGGGCGGGGCTCTTATCAGACGTGTGAAGTTTCGTTGAGATCGGATCTTGTACAGTTATGACAACTTCCTTTTTCATGGTGAGTCCTTGAAATTGGACGCCATTCCATGGGCACGCCGTTTGACGCACAGTCACAAATAGCACGACTTTTAATTGTGATGGTGTTTACATCATACTGACCAAATTTGAAGGGATAAATTCCCTAGGACATGGGTGTCAAACTCAATCACACAATGGGCCAATATTTAAAACAAAGTCTAAGCTGCGGGCCAAACAGGATTCATATTCTCAATTCATTCATTCATCAACAGCTAATGAAAAAGTGTGTGTCTCTTCGGCCAGCTGTTTTGTCAGATTTCTTGCGAGTTCCTTAACTCGGTCTGCAATGGTGTATCTTGACAAACTGACATTTTTAAAAATCTGTATCTGGTCGGGGCACACCTGCTCACACACCTTCAGCAATGCACCTTCTGAAAAGCACTGCAAAGCTCGGCGATTTCTTCAGCCACAATAAAGCTAGCTTTCACTGCTACATCATTTTTGGCTGTAGCTTTTGTGAACATTTCCTGCTGCGATTGCAGTCTGCCTTTTAATTCTTCGGCGATTTGTTGTTTTTCTTGGAGACCAAATTTAGCATACCTTTTAGCATACCTGTTTGGTGTCAAAATGCCTATGTAAATTCACCTTCACCACCGACACTGCCTCATAACACAAAAGACATTTGAGCGCATTTTAAGCTCTCATCGGGCCACATAAAATGACGTGGCGGGCTGAATTCGGCTTGCAGGCCACAGGGCGGCTGTGGCTCAGAGGCAGAGCGGATCGTCCCCTAATCGGACGGTTGTTGTTTCAGTCCTTGAACAAGATACTGAACCCCAAATTGCTCCTGATGCACAGCATCAGTGTATGCATGTGTATGAATGAGTTAGTTTCTGTTCGATGGACTTTGCCATCACTGTGTGAATGTGTGTGAAAGGGTGAATGTGGCACGTAGTGTAAAAGCACTTTGAGTGGTCGGAAGACTAGAAAGCCGCTATACAAGTACAGGTCCATTTACCATTTACCATAAAATGATGTGGCGGGCCAAATTCCTTCCTTGAGTTCGACACATATTCCCTAGGAGATGTTTGCTCAAATACAACGCCACAGATCACCAGAAATTACCACAAAATCCGAAATGGCCGACTTCCTGTTGGGTTTGGAGTATGTCTACAAGAGGCTTTTTTTGCTCGTCTGAGCATGATACCAATTTTCGTACATCAGTCATATGCATCTTGGGGACTGATCTGGACGGGTGGGGCTTAGCCATTTGGCGGCGCCCGTGCACGGGTACAAGTGGATACGTCGAGTTCTGCAACGTTTTAATTTTGTGCTAAGTTTCATGAGCTGTCGAGCATGGGCAAGTGTTCAAAAATGCGGTTAAAGGCACAGAAAAATAATAACGGAGAATTCCTACAATTACAATAGGTCCTTGCACTGGTCAGTGCTCGGGCCCTAATAAGACTAACAACAATAATGATCCCCGTGCACAGTCAGGTGCTGGTAGGTTTCAGGGCTGAGCAGTCATTTCAGTGTGCGTTGGCTAATTTAGATTTTTGCCAATAGTTTTATTGATCATAGAAACCTTTTTAAAAACAGAGTTTACAAAGTGTTTTGAAAGGCAAAGGAAGAGCAGGATTCTCAGAGGACAATATAAGAGAGAGCCAGGCACTAAGGCCAAACAAAAACAGACGGAACAGACAGAAATAAAGAATAAGGCAAAAAATGGTAAAGGGAAGACAATGGTGGTAACAATAAGGACAGAGAAAGTGATAGCTTTAAAACAAATTAGTTATATTGATTAAATTAACCTGGAGGTTCAACATGTTTATTAATTAAATGCATATTTCATTATTTCTGGATTTCTGAAACAGTCTGACACAGAAATCATGTATGAATGTGTGTGTGTGTGTGTGTGTGTGTGTGTATGTATTCTGTGATGAGAGCATGTCCTTTGCCTCTGTGCTATAATGCTGCCATCTGTTGGTCATTCTGTAGATCATTTGGAAACTGAGACCTACACTTAATAATGTGAATAATGTATTCATGGGAGAGTAAGGGCACAAGGACTTTTAAATTTACTCTGAGCAGCTTTACACATACTAGCTCTTGATAACACTCAGCTTAAAATGTCTAATTTGATGTTGCAATGTTTTTAAGAATTTTTTTTGCAATGAATTTGTGGAAGAAAGTGAAAAACTGCAAAAATAGTTGCGATTATTTTCGTATAATAAATAAAAATTCTACAGCAACTTCTTCCAATGGAAATAAAATGACATGGTTGTGCAAAATTCACAGGGATTGGATGAATTTGGTTAATTGTTGCGATTGCAACTTCCTGGAGGGACTCCACGTATACTGCAGAGGTATTTGTAGAAGCGTATTTTTAAATAGATAATGATATGGTCAATGCCAAATAAAGAGTGAACTCCAGCCAAGTCTACACACTGTGAGTCTGCTGGAAAAGTAAAAGACTAAATAATCCGACAGGATATCAACAAGTTATAAGAGTCACTTTAATTTCACATTTAATTTCCACACACACACACACACACACACATATTTGGGTGGGAGCAAACAGAGAAGTACAGCTTCTAAAAGTCACACACTGTGTATGATGTGGAGAATCTGGAGCTCATCAAATGGTTCTTCAGATGCTGAGGTCTACGGCGCTTGTGTGTCTGTGGTGTGTGCCGTCGTCTCTTCGCTGTTGGCGCTGGCCGCCTGCTGGTCTGCCAACAAGTCTGCCAGCTTCAGCTTGAGAATCGAATCCCTGGGCTCGGCTGCCACCTGCAGGATCAGAATCACAAATACTTTAATAATCCCAGGGGGAAATTACTTTTGTTACACATACTCCAGAACATATAATATATTAAGAATATATATAAATATATATATACAGTGGGGAGAACAAGTATTTGATTTGATACACTGCCAATTAAGTTTTCCCACTTACAAAGCATGTAGAGGTCTGTAATTTTTATCATAGGTACACTTCAACTGTGAGTGACGGAATCTAAAACAAAAAGTATTTGATCACCTACCAGCCCGTAAGAATTCCGGCTCTCACACACCTGTTAGTTTTTTCTATAAGAAGCCTTCCTGTTCTCCACTCATTACCTGTATGAATTGTTCCTGTTTGAACTCGTTACCTGTATAAAAGACACCTGTCCACACACTCAAACAGACTCCAACGTCTCCACAGTGGCCAAGACCAGAGAGCTGTATAAGGACATCAGGGACAAAATTGTAGACCTGCACAAGGCTGGGATGGGCTACAGGACAATAGGCAAGCAGCTTGGTGAGAAGGCAACAACTGTTGGCACAATTATTAGAAAATGGAAGAAGTTCAAGATGACGGTCAATCTCCCTCGGTCTGGGGCTCCATGCAAGATCTCACCTCGTGGGGCATCAATGATCATGAGGAAGGTGAGGGATCAGCCCAGAACTACACGACAGGACCTGGTCAATGACCTGAAGAGAGCTGGGACCACAGTCTCAAAGAAAACCATTAGTAACACACTACGCCATCATGGATTAAAATCCTGCAGCGCACGCAAGGTCCCCCTGCTCAAGCCAGCGCATGTCCAGCCCCGTCTGAAGTTTGCCAGTGACCATCTGGATGATCCAGAGGAGGAATGGGAGAAGGTCATGTGGTCTGAAGAGACAAAAATAGAGCTTTTTGGTCTAAACTCCACTTGCTGTGTTTGGAGGAAGAAGAAGGATGACTACAACCCCAAGAACACCATCCCAACCGTGAAGCATGGAGGTGGAAACCTCATTCTTTGGGGATGCTTTTCTGCAAAGGGGACAGGACGACTGCACCGTATTAAGTAAGAGTAAGAGCACTGAAGATGAGTAGTGGCTGGGTCTTCCAGCATGACAACGACCCGAAACACACAGCCAGGGCAACTAAGGAGTGGCTCCGTAAGAAGCATCTCAAGGTCCTGGAGTGGCCTAGCCAGTCTCCAGATCTGAACCCAATAGAAAATCTTTGGGGGGAGCTGAAAGTCCGTAATGCCCAGCGACGGCCCCGAAACCTGAAGGATCTGGAGAAGATCTGTATGGAGGAGTGGGCCACAATCCCTGCTGCAGTGTGTGCAAACCTGGTCAAGAACTACAGGAAATGTCTGATCTCTGTAATTGCAAACAAAAGGTTTTTGTACCAAATATTAAGTTCTGTTTTTCTAATGTATCAAATACTTATGTCATGCAATAAAATGCAAATTAATTGATTTTCTGGATTTTTGTTTTAGATTCCATCACTCAAAGTTGAAGAGTACCTATGATAAAAATTACAGACCTCTACATGCTTTGTAAGTGGGAAAACCTGCAAAATCAGCAGTGTATCAAATACTCGTTCTCCCCACTGTGTGTATATATATATATATATATATTTTAAGGTTAAATATGTACAGTTTAAAATGTGCAAAAATGATTGCCCGTGTTTGAGGTCAGATTACAGAGAGCATCTGGGTGAGAGGAGGATGAAAGCAGTACTGTGACCATGTGTTCAAAACACTTCCCAGGAACATCATGTTATAAGGAATTCAGTCTAGACCTGCTCTATTTGAAAAGTGTCCTGAGATAACTTCTGTTATGAATTGGCGCTATACAAATAAAACTGAATATCCTCTTCCCAGTTATATGTCCCAGTGTTTACAGGGGAATGTATAGTTCTGACCTGAGGTTATTAGTGTGCGCACTGTATTGCCATCATGTTGTTTTTTGCAATGAAATTGTGGGATAGCGTAAATTTGCTAAAATAGTTGCGATTCTTTTTGTATAAAATGGCTAGTAGTTTGGTAATGTATGGCTCAATGTCTTCTGCAGGGGACTGCTATGATTGGAAAAAACTTGCAGGAAACTACAATGACTAGACAAATTTGCAGAAAAGTTGCAGTAATAGGACAAAATCAATTCAGTCAATTCACAGGGACTGGTGGAATTTGCGCTCATTGTTGCTATTGCAGAGGGACTGGTTGTTGTACCTTTAGTTGTAACAGTAGGGCTATCTATGAACTCCATGCTCAATATCACTTTGTGTTCTGATTCGGAGATGGAGCCTCCACTCTGCAGGTCTCATTTAGACAGTTAAACCGTCTGCAGAGTTTTCGTTTATGGTTTTGCACTCTGCTTCATTCACACTTACTCTGGCCAAAACACTGGTCACACTTTATTTGGGTAGTCCGCCTACAGTTTGAGTATTTCTAACATTTTAACTTACAGCTTATTAGTCTTAATTCCACAACCATTTTCTTCCACTGTGGTTAAGGTTTGGTTAGGTTTAGGCACAGAAAATCATATTGGTTAGGATATTTGTGCGGATTATCCAAATACAGGGTTGATCCAGCTACATTACAGTTAATAATGGCGTTTAAAAGTCAGAATATACTTACTAGCTGTGTCTGTACACGTTTTCAATTTGAAACACTGTACTGGAAATTCTAGGAAATGCCAAGATATCTCAAAAAGCTTTCTACACTTGGCTGAGGTGGATCAATAAAGATGCGATAGAGGCTGAATCACACCGTGAAGCTGCAGCCCTTCAGGAGTAGTTTAGCCAAAATTAGCACAGTTTGCAGTTCAGTCATGTCAGTCTGTGCTCAGAGTACAATAATGGAGCAAAAATTAAAAAAAAGACAAAGCCTGCTGATTTTGCCAACAACATGAGGTCAGAATCAGCAGCTCTTTGACTGATGATCTGAATCGCTAATGTTTAGGAGGCAGCCCTACTCAGTAATTCTACTTTCATCAGGACTCTTACAGGAGTAAGTTGTCTCCTTCTCAGGATGATGCCATCTACGAGTAAAGCCTTTCCAGTCTCCTCAAACAGAGCAGAGTCATTCAGCTCACTGTGGCAGCTCTTCAACGCCATGTACTTGTCTACAAATCTGCAAAATCACAGTGAGAAAAAAGATAGATAGATAGATAGATAGATAGATAGATAGATAGATAGATAGATAGATAGATAGATAGATAGATAGATAGATTTTATTAATCCCTGAAGGGAAATTGGGTCGTCATAGCAGCCAGGTACATTTAAATACAATAGAAATAAAAAACAGAGAAGGTGCAAGGAACAATATTAATAGTTCCAGTATTGTGGAGTGGAGTGTTAGGGTTATTACGTTATTACATTTAGTATTTTGTCACATACAGTAAGTTAGTTCTTAAATACAAATACTCAAAAACATACCTCTGACACAAAGACACAGAGTTTGGTTTGGACAGCTCAAACGCCAGACCAGCCTTGTACTGCTTATAGAACTTCCTGAAGGGCAGACAGTTATGGGTGAGTGGAGGCTGCAAAACATCTTACAACAGCTTTTAATGCAGACATCACCATCACCTCATTTTATTTACATCTCATAAACATATTACTGTAAATCACTCAATAATGCTGAAAACTTACACTCTAACTTCATCTTCTCTGTACAAGATTTCAGGCACAGTCTGCTGTTTCCTGCTACTGGCTCTGTTATCTGGCTTCACGTAAAGTGGCTCCCTCTTCGGTGGGAAAGCCTTGTACACGTCGTACCAGATCGGTTTCTGCTGCAGCTTTATGACTCCAGAGCGCATCAGATCTCGAACCCTGTCAATCACACAGTTGTGATTAAAGTAGCATTGAAAGCAATATCATTTGCTGCTTTTCCACAGCACTGTACGGCTCAACTCGGCCTGACTCTTACCTGGTTTTCCATTACGGAAAGTACCTTGTACTTTAGTTAGAGTGGATGTACAGTGGTGTGTGAGAGCGAGAGCAGTGGAGGCATAGGTCAGCAGTGAAGGTAACGTTCAGTTTGTGGTGTGTGCTAAAACCTTTATTCACTGAGCTCCCATGAGTTCCCAGCTGTTGGACTAGCACCACTCTGACGCTCAGCTCTGGTACAGATAACTTATGATGACATCGCTGACTTCAAATCTGAGTCAAGTGTATCATTTTCTTCACTCTTGGTCGCATGTCTATGACGTCACCGCGCCTCCTCTCCTCTAGACTGACGTTACCATAGACCACGGGGTCGTGCTCTTGAAAAGATTCCCATGTGTTCCTATTAGCTTTGGTTTTACATTTGGTCTTTACTAAGCGTTAGTCACTGTTGCCTCAGAAGCAACAGGACATAACGTTACTACGTGCTGACGTAGCTGAGCGCCAGTTTATCCAGTAACGTGAAGTTAAATAACGTTACGCACTCCGGACAACCTCAATGACACAGAACATAAGCGACAGGTAATCTATTCTACACATCCGCCGGCTCTCAACTGCACCAGTTCCTGTGATATCAAAGCAATCAATGATGTTATAATATAACGTTACTAACGTTAGCTCCGCTTACAGGCACAACCAGAGTAAACTGCTGTCTTACCGGGTGAACACAGTTCCAACCCTCTCCAGCCTGCTTCCCGCCATTCGGTTGTTTTCATCGATAGCTAACGTTAGAGCCCTCGAGACTGTACCGTCTCCTGTTAGCGAACACAGCCTTCTTCTTCTCTGATTTTAATGGCGGGCCGCAAACCAACTTGTTAAGGTGCACACCGCCACCTACCGCAGTGCAGTGTGTACCGTCAGGGTTTGACTTCATGGCGAATACAATGCCACGACATCCGGTGGTAGTTTATTTCAGAATAAAAGAGTGAAACTGTTTCCTTTGTTGCCGCTGTTTCGATTGACAGGTAGAAAAAAACAAATGTCTGAATAAAATAAAATGAACGATATAAGTAATGGACGGTCGTTTAAATTAACTTATTATTAATACACAATTTAGGTGTTGTCTACTGCACTGCAGAAAAAAAAGAAGAAGGCTAAATGGCCCAACATAAAATCTTAACTTCCCATAACCTCTTCTTCCTTTACTCATGACTCAAAACTTTGTTTTCCCCATACACCATTGAAGCAGAAGTAGCAGGTCGACCAATTTCCTGTACATCAAGTAACACAATGGTTTTCAAACTGGGGTCCCAAACAAAAAGGAGAAATAGAATATTTTAACTTTTTATTACATATTTTAGAAGTTGGAACAACAAGGAGGGAAATAGGGTTGGATGTTTGGATTGATTGTGACTAATAGTGATTTGATCATTGATTGACTATGAAGACTTTCATTTCTTCAAACTTCAGAATAAAGGACATACATACTGGGGGTCTGTTTATCTACTGTGTGGGGCCCTTGACATGACAAACTTGGGGAACCCCTGAATAAACAAACAAAACAAACAAGTTGTGAATATAAATATGCCAGTGTCACCAGTATGATAAAGTAAATAAAAACCTTGTGTTTACAGGTGTTATATGTTTTAACAGCTTTAAATCAAGATGTTCCTTTATTGATCCCCTGCAGGGGAAATTCAAATTGGCACAACAGAAATGTAGTGCAAAGTGCAAGGAAGACAGAATAGAATCCAATAGAATCAAATAACATGTAATTATACTAATAATCATAATAATACCATAATATATACACTATATACAGTAAAATAGAACATTTACATTTAGCTATAGATGAAATGTATTGATTTTGTGTGCTATTACTCTAGTGTCATTGCTTTGCAATATAGTCAGTTACTGAATACAAATTACATGTCAGTCTTTTATTTGTAACGTGATGTAATCTAATCTGAATACTGAAAACACTGAAAATATTGCAGTTTATGCTAAATAAATGTGACATCCACTAATATTTGGGGGTTTTTTTACAAAATGTTTTCAGTCCGAGTAAAATTCATTTTGCACATTAAGCATTTACAGTCGAATCAAATAAAATTGAATGGTAGCCGGCATTCCCACAATGCCTTCCCACCGAGCACCCAACGTTTTTTGTGGCTATATCTGGACTTTCCGTCATGGCCTTTATTAAGCTAATATACTTTGAAAATTGGGCTTTGTTTAGTCTGTCTGATTTTGTCCAGATTCAGCCCAATTTTGTTAGCTTTATTTTGGACCACATTTATCCCTAATACAGCCATGAACATGAGATCAAATTGCAGCAAGTGGGGAATTATATTGTGTGTACACCTGAATTACTCTTTCTGAAAGTTTTTCCACATAATGACTACTGTTCAAAAACGTATATAGATAATGATAAATACTGTAAGCCACGTATAATAGAACCTAACTAAGTAATATATAATTAAATATACATACATTAACATAAATATGTTTAAAATAACTTGTGACGTTACTGGACTTTAATATAAAATTCTGGCCCTCAAACCACCTCCATCTAGCCCGCAACATGATTTAATAAAATATAATCTGGCCCACAAAATTATTATTATTATTTTTTTTATTATTTTAATATTTCCAAATGTTTCAGATCAACTTAAACTGTTCTTTGTATACCATTAAAATGTGTAAGCAAATGTGTCAACAAATGTGTAAGAAGAGAGCAGATTCACACACACACACACACACACACACACACACACACACATACACATTGCTTGTTTTGGCTGTCACTCAAAATTCAAAAGTCAAAACAGTTGCGTTTGATTTGGTGTGGAACAGGGGAAGGACAGCATGAACTATTTTGCTTCTGACAACATGTTTTTATTTATATATGTATGTGTGTGTGTGTGTGTATTATGGCATGCCCTTTAGGAAATTATTGAATGAATATATGGAATGAAATGTCAGGTGATCAAGGCACACAAACTTGTGTTTTCGAATACCGGCCTGATATTATTCCGTAGGGATGTTACTGCAAGAAGTGTGGGACTGAGTGAGCCTGCACAGACTCTGTAAGAAGCAGTCCGAACTATTGAAGAGATAATTAACACCCTGGCAAATGCGGGCCAGTATTCACGCTGTTACTGTACTGTAGCTGTATGTTCAAACACAATGCATAGGAAGCGGTTAAAGTCGGAAAGTCAGTAAATCAGTCACTGATTTATGAATGAATGTGGAAGAGCTGGCACCTCCACATACATCAGACTGGTTAGATATAACTCGATATTCTGCTTTTTTATGCAGGAAACATCCAGTTACCAGGGCTTATCCTACTTTCTTTTTTGGTAAACATAGCGTCTCATGTTTTATCCGTGAAACACATTGCAAGGCAAACACTGTTGTGTAATATTGAATACTGATGTGTGACCATGTACGAGGTGAGATACATTAGAATTATGACTAAAAGAGTGTCACCAAATCAATGTCTTTATTTTGATACAGTATTTAATAATCGCCACCTGTGATCTATATTCACCGTCACCCAGCCCTTTTGAAGGTTGCACTGCTGCACATAGACCAAAGTAGAAGGTGCGCCTGGAGACGGCCATGCAGTCTGTGCGCCTATAAGACCACCTTGCACATCACATTAAGGGTGCAAATGATTAAACTCAGGGTGTGAAGCATGTTTGCACCCTCATAGAACCAGGCCTGATTACAAAACAGCTATAATTACATATTATGCAAAAAAAAAGATATAAAAAATCTGGTGGGCCCTTCCAGCCTGAATGGGCATGACTCGACTGTCATTAAGCAACGTTGTAATAATATTACACATCTAAAACACAAGATGGCACCACTGCCTCCATGACGTCAGATTTCATTCAATATATTCAGACTTTCAAGATTCAAGATTCAAGAGTCAATACTTTATTGCCATACAACTCGGTGCAAGTTGCTAGGGATTTTCTTCAGTGTGCTCAGGACATCAACAAAGACACAAAAAAAAAACACAGAACATATAAACACATATACAACACAAGGGCCACAGGACATATCCCACACAGGATCACACTTGACGCAGGCAGATAAAAAAGCATACTTTCATTCCATATATTCAAGTTTCATATTATATACATAATAATTTCCTAAACGGCATTCCATAGTGTAAATATATATATATATATATATATATATATATATATATATAAATATGTGTATGTGTGTGTTTATATTATATACACAAAGAAAAATATAGAAGAAGAGGAAATACAATGGGAAAACTGTAGCCTAAAGGTCCAGTGTGTAATAGGAGGATGTATTGTCAGAAATGGAATATAATAATCATAGGTATGTTTTCATTAGTTTATAATCACCAGAATGAGCCATTTTATCTATAGCATCGACATACATAAAAATGGACGTCACATCTCCACTTCCTCCCACTGAACAAACATGAGGTCATCGAGGTCCTACCAAAGCACCCGGCCGACTTTGGCTTCACTTTTGAAGAGCTTTCATGTTCTCCATCTTTATATATGTGTATGATCTAGAGGGAGCTTCTACGGAGTCCTCTATGTTGAACCACCATGTTTCTACGGTAGTCCACAACGGACAAACTAGATCTAGATAGATTTAGATGTCACTAAATCCTACACACTGGACCTTTTTTAAAGGGTTTTGCAGTTTGGTGTTTTGCTAAGCTAATTCATCACACATTAAAGGTCCAGTGTGTAACATTTAGGATGATCTATTGGCAGAATTGGAACACAATATTCATAGGGATGTTTTCATTAGTGTACAATCACCTGAATATAGGATAAATATATATTGTTTTTGTTACCTTAGAATGAGCCGTTTTTATCCACACAGCTGGATGCCATTTTCTGATTCTGATTCTGATACCTACTGGTCCTGTTAAAAGGCAATCCAAGAAAATTATGAAAAATGATGGCGTTATTTGGTCACCCTTTACCCTATTGGACAGAAACAAACTCAATCTTCCCATGGACAGCAATGCAAGAAACTCTCACCGTCTTTTAGGACATTATGTTTCTTATTGTGATTTCAGAACTGTTGAACGGCAGCACAGGCAGGCTTATTGCTGCGTGGAGGAAAAAAAGAGAACATGAACTTTAAACTCTCTGTCAGCTGACTAGAGATAAAGGGGCCTTGGCTCAGCAGGGCCAGACACATTACTTTCATATATGGTTCCACACAAGGAAATAGCACCTGCAAAATAATTCACCTGACTAAGAAGGCCCAAGAGAGAGAACACAGAACCCTGAAAGAAGACAGAAGTAAAGCAGACTGCTGTTTGTCAGCAGGTGGCTTTTCAGGTTCCACAACAGAGAGAGTTTTAGAGCAGTGAGACAGGCCGGTAAGGCCAGGTTGAGTTCAGGAATTTCAGCACGTAACAGGGTGGTGTAGGGAGAGGGACGGAGGGCGGGCACCAAACAGAGGAGGGACAAAGAGCGAGAGAGAGAGAGAGAGAGAGAGAGAGAGTCATAAATGCAATAATTACAGCTTAGGCTGAAATAAGCAAAGCAACTCTCCTGGTTTCACAGGCTGCCTGCGTCGCTAACAACACTGCAGTCCCACTGACTCAGAGGGCCCAGGAGCCATTGCTCTGTTCTACTGCACTCATTCCTGGGATTTATTTGTCACTAGAACTTTTCATTTTCAGGCATGGATTTGCTCCTGGATTCTGGTTAAATTATAATTCTTTCTCCCAGTCAGAATTCAAACAGAACTCTGTTGTTTTGTTTGTTTGTTTTGTAAAAACAACAAAACTGGAATCATTTACTATGTCTGTGACTGCCCTGTTCAGGGGAAAGTGGGGGCACAAGTCACAGGAAACCCCAGAGAAGCAAATAGCAGCTGTAGTTCAAGCCAGCCACGACGAGGATGACGACGAGGATGACTCCAAAGTTGGTTTGAGCAGAGATCCCATCCAGAGGAATTCACGCTTTTACCGCTCAATGAGGAAGAAGAGGCTGGCCTCATCTGAGCCATCTGAAAGTAAGAAATTGCCAGGTCTCTACCGTGCTTGAAGTTTCACCTTACTTTAGCTCAAATTGCGTGGTTAGGAGTTCTCTGCCTTGGTGATAGAGTTTTTGTAGAAACTACGTAATATTGCTCTGTATTGTTGTCCCATTGACAGCTGATGAAGTTCAGTTGAAAGTGGAACAAAAGCTTAGTAGTCCAATCCCTCAGCAGAAATTGACATGAATAAAACCTGAGAAACCCGTTCTGTTTGAGCAGCACAATAGTCTGAGTAATACCTGTATGTTCCACAGGTCGCCATCTGACCTCAATTTAAGCTGAAACCAGCTTGAAGTTTGTACATTGAAATCAAACAACCACCTGATGTCCTGTTGTATAGTGTCTGGAATGATTTGCAAGGTTGTGTCAGTGGAAGTTTTATTTGTCAACCTGCTTTTTGGATCAATATTCAGCTGTGTTTAAGAGGCAAAATCACAGAAAGTGAGTTGAAGTGAACCGAGATCATTTATTTTTAGTACAGGATCAAAACAGTCTGTATAGGAATGCACCATTCATAGAGCCACACCAAATACAGTGTTTGAGCTTAGACTTTGCCCATGACTCAAAGGGAGGGATCAAAGTCATTACATAATCCATAACTAGCCAGTCAGCATCACTCCTACTAATACAAAATGTGAAATTAAGTCATAAAACACTGAGAAATCCAGTCGCCTGATTATTGTTGTCCTAAAATAAAAAAGAAACAAAAAGCAGTAATGTTTCTTTTCAAGGGTAGTTTTCGCCAAAATAAATTATGATAAATTATGATTACAGATTTTATCTTATCACCAGCTATCTTGTCTTGATAATTTGCAGGGGCCTTCCTGATAACTTGCATTTCAGCAGGGATATGATCATATGGTATATGATTTGATAGCATGTCTAATAAATGCAGTCACTGCACAATGTGGCTACCAAAAAGGAAGACCCAACTGTGTTCCAGACCATTCTGACTGTATTCAACTGTCACAAATTGTTTTTGTGCAAAGCTAACTGAAACTAGATATAATGTCGACTCCCATCTGTTTTTGTTTTATTATGTCTTGTCTATGTCATGTGTGATATGCAGAGGTCTTGATGTTTGGCATGTAATGATGCAAAATTGATTATTTCCCTCAAATGTATGAAAACTAAAGTAATGAGTTTTGAAAGTGTAAGGAGTAGAAAGTAAAGATATTTGTGGAAGAATATAGGGAGTAAAAGTAAAAATGATTTGTACTTAGTAACTTCCCACCTCTGATAATGAGTAAAGGATCAAGAGAAACAGTGGCAGTATTTACTAAGCCTAAAATTCAAAGTGTAAGCAAAAATGTTTTCTTAGAATTCCCACTCAAAAATATTTCAAAAGCTATTGATGAAGCTTCCTAAAGGGATCCGCCAACAGTGAGGGACACTGTTTTCTTTCTTACCAGCAGTAACAGTAGATGAGATCAATGTCTGTTTCATCTCTTTGAATTGAGTAGCTTACAGAGACAGGCTGGCACAAATACTGGAGGCAGGGACAATGGCTAAAGTCTAGTTCCATCAAAGGTATCTGGCTTCTTAAAACTTCCTTAACATTTCTTAATTACATTATGTATATGTATCTATCATAAGAGGTCAAAGTTTTATTTTTATAAAGGCGGTCTGAACATAGACAGATTGACGACACCCTGTCTTTCGTCTGATAGCTGTCTCAGTTCTGCAGGTCTGTCTTATCTCTGGATTATCAGTCATGGTGCTTAAAGAATACTGACACAGTGATACTCTTCTGTATCCTCCAATGCAGGTGAATGTGCCAGGGCCTTTCAAACTGCTCTTTTTTCGGGCTGCCCAATAGTAAATTTCAACATTTGGCAGTCCTGCTTGTTTTGCTGGTCCCAGAAGAATCTTAAACTTACTCCTTGACCTTAATCAGTCTATTAAATACAACATAGGATTTTATAATAGTTGCTAACCGGAAAAAAGATTAAGACTTGGGTAAAACAATCATTTTAATACTGTTGACACGACACAAAATATTTAAAGGCAGGCATCGCCATCTCTTTAAGTCTACTTTCTTAATCAAAGGCTTTTTATTCAGTTTTTCAATCTGCATTCCAGATTATATTATTTTATTTTGATTTATTTGTAATTCTAAACCTGGAGAGATGACCATCTTCTCCTAGCGCCATTCATTGGCATTATGATACTATTTGAACTTTATTGCTGGAAACATCCGTCTAAGATGTGAAAGAAAATGCTTTTGGCTCATCTGGTTTTGTAAAAAACTAAAGAATATTGTCAGACATTAAACAAAATAACATGTCCACTGTCCATAACCTCAAAAAGAAAGCTCCATTCATGATCAAATGCTTTTTCATGACTAGATCATCTCGTAGCCTTGAACAGCACATTATTATATCAAGCATCTCTCAATAAAGCTGTTTGATATTAATCAAATTCCCTCCCATTTGAGTTATGGAGCCTTTTAATAATAATAAAATCACTTTTTATTAATAATATGGTAAATGGACCTGTACTTGTATTCATAGATGCCACCTACGTCACTATCAAATAGAACGCCGCCATACTGACGACCGATCTCGCCCAGTACGGCCGCCCACACTGCCCATTTGAATAAGAGAGAGAGACAGAGATATCTGGAGAAAATTTCAATTTTAGGCTCCGATCCTTATTTGTTACCCCCAGTTTTCTTTTGTCCCTTATTGTCTGCCCCAGGCTTGCCCCAATTGGCTTTCCATGATATATACATTTATCTTGTGCATAACCCCTGCCCGTACAGTGGGGATAGCTTGAAGGCTTTCAAGAGTCCCGAAGCTTATTAATATGCTGTGGCTGGATGGGTGAAAGACGTGAAAGTGCGGCACCTGGCCACCAAGGATTTATATTTAATCATGGGAAATGTAAGGTATTGGGTGAAGTATTATATTAAAATAAAGTATGATTTTGGTGGTAGTTTACTCTGACTAGGTAGCGAGTTGTTAGCTAAGTGGCTAACAGCTAGCAAGCTACCCCTCATCTTAGCATAACGCTACTCCAATCTGACCACTTTTTTCAGTAACGAGTAATCTAACGAGTTACTATTTCCAAACCGGTAATTAAAGTTACTACTTAGTCATTTTGTGTGACAAGTCACGTTTTCAGCATGAGGACAGTTCATGTGTAGGCTACGCAGACACAAACATAAACAACAATGGAGGGAGGAGAGAGATGGCCGTTTGCTAGCTGGAAATACAGTCACTATTTAAAGTTTGTGTCACTATTTAACAGTTTGTTCTTCACTTAACAGCCAGGTGACGGTATCTGAATGGGACAATAGATTATATCATTATATAAGACTTACCAGTTAATTATTGTTAGCTAGCATGCTAGCGAATGATAATGCTATCAAGCTACAACCTCCGGACTAAGTTTACACGGCACAGCACAGAATACACCGAGTTAACATTGAGTCAAACGATGACAGCCATGTGATGGTATCTGATATGTCTATGGTGTGATCGGCCCGAGTTGGTCGTAAAGATGGCGGCGCAAAGCTACAGTGACGTCATGTGATCCGAACGAATAGCGCCTTTCTAGTCTTCTGACCACTCAAAGCACTTTTACACTACATGCCACATTCACCCTTCACTCAGTGATGGCAAAGTCCATCGAACAGCATTCACACACATTCACACAGCATCGGAAGCAATTCGGGGATCAGCTCAAGGATACTTCGACACTTGGGGCTGGGACTTCACCGGTCAAAGTTCACCAATGTTAAACTCCACTATGTGCCACCGGAAGCAAATGTTTTATTCACCTCTTAAAGGCTTGTGTATACTCGCCGTTCCTGACCTGTCGCACGACAACGTGACGTCAAAATGATGTAGATCTCGCTGGTGCGCCAGCATTTTGGCCCGTTTGCGCCAGGTCGCCGGCCACTCTTTTTTTTTTTCAGCTGAGCGCGCCAAAGTGGAAACAGGAAGATGGACGATCTGTATGATCCTTCAATGAAGGAACACAGAGATGCCCAGAGGTGCCAGAATTCATGGTGATGTTGGAAAAGAGGAGGCCATATGCTGGAAAATTTGGAAGAACCTCCGCGACCAATTTGCCTAGAAAAAGCAAAGTCGGTAGCCTTTACTCAGTAGCGACACCTCTGTTCAGGAAAAGACTTCAACTAGTGTCGTGACCACCAGCGCAAGTATAAATAGTTACGGCGCTCCTGTGACGTTACTCTATCGCGCGAAAGGTCGCCAATGGCGGGTATACCGAGCGCTTTACTCACATAGAAGAGTGACTGGGAGGGAATATTTTCCAGTGTTGTTTTTGCGTTTTATTATGAAAATCCTCTTATGCAGTGTATGCAGTTTAAAGAGTTTAGTGAAGAAAACATTTAGGATAAGAATATGATAATGTTTTTGCATTGCTAATTGTGTTATCCTATACATTGAAGTTATTTCACTTAGGAGAGACAATTGAATGAAGTAAAGATAATTGTTATAAGATATGTGACGATTAAGTCTTGACAGGAAGTCTTTGGCACTTAGAGTCAGCAGCAAAATGACTCTCCCCATGGTGTCCAGACACTGGTGGTGGGGACTGATGACTCTGCTGAGGCTGATAAAATGATGAAGTTGATGACTCTGTAAAGACTGATCCTATTTAAAGACAGCAGAAAGGTGATAGGCTGACGATGCAGGTGTGCTGCTTTGCCATTGGATAGATGAGACCATCGCAGCTGACAGCCCCTGATAATGACAGCAACGAAATGATGTGTGAGAGTTGTGAAGGCAGGATGGAAAGTGAAACAAACTACAGGCCTGTACATGCAAAAAAACATTCTGCCTGACTGAACTTTTGCTATACCTTCATTCAGTCAACTCACAGCTAGAAGATCCTCTCTCAGGATTCTCTGGTTTCTGCTCACAGGTTAAGTGAATTGAACTTTACACTGCCATAGGAGGTGCTGATCTCAGAATCAGAAATACTTTATTGATCCCTGGGGGAAGATTTGTTAAGAGCAACTACGCACTCTTGGCACATGCGCTCTACTGACAGTTTTCTGTCTCCAGACAAACTGTTAAATGTCATTGGAAAGAAAAGCTGAAACATTTGTGTCAAATCCCTTTCAAGCGCTCCTTGTTCTTTATCAGTTACATGGGTCTCTTGCATCAAAATTGCAGTGTTTCCATTGCTAGGATGGAGAGGAAGGCATCTGGTGCTAATCCCCCCGTGACTGTACACATGCCTCTGCAGACACCCAGTGTAGTACAACACTGTCACACTTAGAAGTCACAGTCAAACGTCTTGAGGTGTCCCAAGCTGTTGTTGTGTGACATATTTCTGAGTGAGCTCACACAAAACCTTTGATATAATTTGAAATAATAAGTTTCTGTATTTTCATGTAGTTTATACTTCTGCTCTATATTACAAAGAGAAATATTTTACTTCCCACTTCATTGGCTGTATAGTAACCAGTTACTTTGCAGGCTCAGATTTAATATAGGCCTATAACACACTTTCCCCTGAAGAGAAGGGTTCTTCTAGCTTGGGGCTGTGTTTCAGCAAGCACATGTCTGTGTTTGTGGGCGGAAAGCCAGCAACGATTCACATACTTGTCTCTGCATTTGCCATAATGTGAACCTTCCATGTATTACGCCTTCACACTGAATCTTCCTGGTAGCCTCCAATGTGCAGCAGGTAGAAAGAAGTGACCGGTAACATCATAAGGTCACAAAGGCAGCACATGGCTGTCCCCAGCTCGCCCTGGCCAACAGTAGAGTTACTTTCCTTGTTTTTTAAAGGAAGTAACCGTATAAATAGCCCTTAAAGTTATGTAGTTATTATTCAACTTTATTTACCAGATCATATTGCTTCCCTCCGTGTAGCAAATCTTCCATTGCCCAGTATCTGGGGTTCGGAACCATTGCAGTACAGATTAAACTACAAGCAATTTGACAAAATAATCCAGACTCTGACTGACAACTGAGCACCCTCCATTCACTGCTGAAGACCATGAGATTTTCATCCATGTGCATGGTTGAAGTGCATATGAGTTTATATATAAACTAGTGTGTGTTATGACACACAGTTTCATACAATATAGTGCCAAAACGAGGATGAGGAGTGGGGACTGCAGTAACCTGAGTGTGCTAGATGGTTTGTTACATCTGGGAAGTCGTTGTTGGAAACTGTTTGGAAAAGGGCTGGTACTAAAAATACTCTGACTGGACGAACCTTCTGTCTATCATGGGTGAACTTCAACCAATCAGATGGATGAACCATATAACGTAGTCAAACTCTTACCAAACCCAGCCGAGAGAAGAGAGAAAACATCTTCAGTGCCGTTCTTTGAAATGCTCTCCAGTTCTGATAGAACTGATGCTAGCAGCATCTATGCTAACCTCTTTAGCAGCCGCCATTGTTGTTTTTAAGCAGTCACTTCTCACACACACCTAGCACGCCCGTACTCTTGCAGTAGCTGCCAGTAGGTTGGTTGGTTGGACAGAAGCGCATAGACTGAAGCCTGACAAGATGGATTCTTGTGTCATCTCGTGATTTCATGATCTCATTGTCTTGTTTTCCTTAATATGTACACAGATTAATTTCAGGACAACAATACGCTATATATGTGATAATACTTTATATCAGAGACATACAGGTGAACTGTCTGGGAGGAGAGGGAACTTTACACACACACAGAGACTGTACTGTCAATCTGCATATAGCAGCATCCAGTAGGAATATCTGTTACCATCTCATAGTTTTAACATTACTGTAGACAGATCTTACTTATATATTCTGTGGACACTCGTAAATTAAGGTGACCAGATTTCTGAAATGAAAATCGGGGACATTTTCAATGCGGCGGTGAAAAATCATTAAATATTATCATTATGAAATAAAAAACGGGGACAAGTACTCCCCCGTTCATGTATTTTAACCAGCTTTTATTACACAAGAGATAGAGATAGATAGAGGTAGGGGTGTGGTAACAGAAACTGCACATGGTTGCCAGTTCACACAAAATAAATAAGTTCATACACAACATACCATTTATCGAGGCCGCTGGTCTCCTTTTCTTTCCTTTTTGCCGCCTCTAGATTGTTGTTGTTGACGCTGCTGCGTCTGTACGTCATATGACGTCTTCTCTGGCGATGGGTTAAATGGCTATCGTAATAACTGGTGTTTGAGTCTGCATCCATTTTTCCCCCATTCAGTGTCAAAATCGGGGACATTTTCGGGGACAGCTTTGACCGGGGACAGGTCACCCAAATCGGGGACGTCTGGTCACCTAATCGTAAATCCAGCTGCCTCGCAACGTTAGCAAATTATGGTAGCATCAATCATTGCATCAAATACCCCAAAACGATATGTTTATGGTCAATTAACCATGGCCTGTTGTGGCGGTCGGAATTATGATTGGGGGAAGTAGTGTAATCTCTGCAGTGTTAGAGTAGTTTATTATAAAGCTGCACACATTTGACCTTTTTATCAAAAGCTTCCTATGATTTGCATATTGCACTTGGCCATATATTGGCCATATATTGGCCATATATTTGAATAATATTGTTAGTAATTGTGCAGCCCTAGTATTACCTACAGTAGATGAGGTCAGTGACCCCCAGTTTGGAGAAAGAGACAAGCACAGAACATCTTTTTAGCCACCCAAAAAAAATCAATATCAGTTGAAGGTACGCTATATTTTGAATATTTGAACTGCTTTACATTGCTCTCAGACAGTCCTTTTCTCTTGTTGGGAAACTGGAGCATTTATGTCTGCACAAATGTACATATAAAAGCAATAGATATATAGAAATAAAAGCAATATGTCTTAACATCTTATTTTAGCAAATGTTAGCAAACACTAACTGACGATTGATATAGAATAGCTTGCTAGTTAGCTAGCGTTTTCAAACATTAGCTAACTTAGTAAACATTAAAGCTGACTTTGACTTAAGCTGTAACTTTATATATGTTGCTTTTATCTTTTAACCATCTTTAAAATGTGGTTGTCTTTTCAACATGGATAAATCTAGCACATAGCATATCTAAGTAAAGGAAGCCAATTTTTTTCAAGGGTGGCTAAGTGATGACCTGCCCTACACTGCCTCTGATTGGCTAGTACTCGTTGCTGTCATTGGTTTGGTTAGTTAGATTTAGGCACGAGGAGTAGGGTTGGTTGGGGTAAGACTGTCACGATCATTGACAGTATATATAACGATAAGGCTATCAGAGGGTAGAGTTGGGTGGGTTTTAACTTCACCAGCTTGGGGGAAAAAATATTGCGTACAGGAAAGGAGAAAGTTGACTGTGGTTCGGGTGGGTCAATTGCATTTTATTTTGCTTAATTAATCTTTTAGCAAAAATTCCTCCCAATGAATTTGAAGATACTGTATTTATATGTTATAAACTAAAGTTAAACCCTCTCAGTGGAATATTTATAACACACACCCACACAAACTGGAATTGCCACAGATTGCACAGGAGATGTTGTTCCTGCTTGGGTGAAAAAATAGCACTGGTGCATTATCAGCTCATTGCACAATTTCAGTTCTGTCAAACTTGTGGCATGGGGTTTTCCTCTTACAGACGGGTTAACATTACAGTACAACTGTTTGGTATGTGGGTGACATGAATAACAACAGCATAAATATGTAGCCTTGCCTTGAGGCTATATAGGCAAGAAATCATGGTCAATGTCTTGAACCTTTATCGACACCCTTCTGTAATGGATGAAATGAAAAATTGATAAAATGTTGTGTAGTGTATTATTGTGTATTATTACAAAGACCTTTATATAACACTTACCAGTAAAACACTCTCTTTAATGAGTCTAAATAAAGTTGCATGGATTTTTGTTCCCTATGTGAGTTCACTGGTAGGTTTGCTTCTCTTAAAAAAACAAGAAAAAAATTGTGATTATTTCTCTCTCCTTTCTCACTTTCTCTTCCTCTCCAGATTCTTTGTGGCCTGGTTCGGACCGCAGTCCAGCTAACAGAGCAGGAGTCCCCTCCTCTAATGCTCCTTCACCCCACAAATCACCTTTGTTGCCCGGGGCTAGACGGTGAGTCTGCATGCCTTCACTGCCCAACCCTACCGCTGAACACAAACACACCCAGAAAACAAACCAGCACATACACCGCTTGTTTAAACACTGCCACACACACCACTTTTATACTTAATACTTGGCACTCTCAATGGCTTATCATGTATGTGATAAGCTCACAAGCCTATCCAGTCTCTCTGAAGGTTAATTCATTACCAGTTAAACAGCTCTCGATGTGTTCTATTTCGAAGACTGTGATCATAGGAAGCAGTATAGGTTCAAGAACAAGCACTGTGATAGGACTGCTAACCTTTTTTGATTTCAAGACAAGCTTATAGTTACAAGTGATGGAGGATACTGCAAAACAGATTCATCTTCAAAGTCAGGTGGTCACTTATTCTTCATAAAACTAGAAAACTAAAGCCAAAGCAGAGATATAAACTTGTTGGCATGTTAAAGGAACATCATTTTAGGATAGAATAATATACTGAATGTAATACATCCTCGATTAAGAAGCAAACAAAGTGCAACCAGCTCTGCCTGAAAGATCAGGATCATTGCATTTTTGTGAAAAAGAGTGCGAAGTGACTGAACAGACTTTTTGTTATATTATTTTTACATATATACACAAGTTTGTATAGTGTACATCAGATTTACACAAATTTGAATTCATACACTGTGCAACAGATTGCAACAATTTCTACAGAGCACAAAATGCTACCTTGTCCCACTCATCCTTCACCCTCCACTAGCCCCATCTACAAGCCAGAAATCCATATATAAAAGAACGTTTCATCCGTGGAGTAATACAGGAAGCCGCTGGAAGTCAGGTTTTGTATTTAGAAAAGAAAGAAAGAAAAAATGAATAATCAAGTAATTAAAAGAGGGGGATTTAGAAATGAATGAACTATATTATTAACAGCAATCCACAGGCAAAGGCAAAAAGATAATGAAAGAATATGTCTTTAGTTTGACTGAAGATTCTTAAAGCATTTCAGGAAAGGTCACCTTGATCAAAATTTTAAATTATTGAAAAGTTCAGGGTTCCCATGCATCCTTCCTTTCCAACCTCGAAAATCAGGAAATTTAGAGACTAGTTTTTCATCATAGAAACACCTGAAAATGTATTAAAGTGACCAAATATCCTGGAAATAATCTATGTTGTCCTGGAAATATTTTGTTGTAGTTTAGCCTCTCTCTCAGATCACCTACAGAAACCTAGATTTGTATTTTGTTTGAAACCTGACAGTTGGTAGCTGTGCAGTATGGCACATAGAAATGGGTTAAACAGATGTGAAGCAGAATTAAAAATGTTTTAAGTGCTCCATTTTCATTTTATGTCAGTCAATCCAGCTGTTCACACCAAACACAGAGTGGAACAGACTTTTTCTGCGTTATAATGAACCTGAGACTCTTCATCCCTAAATTCATCATTAAGGAGGCATCAGACTAGGCTAGGCCTATTGCTGTCCTGAAAAACTCCTGGAAAATGTCTGATTTCTCTAAAAGAGTGGGAACCCCGAAGGTTTGGAAAACGTCCCTCCAGTATTTTTCCAGGGGAAGGGAGGCCTCACCTCTTCTACATTTGTCACATCTGGATAAATATGAGATAGGTTGGCTTTTGACACACGGGCCCTGTGCACAAGCTTAAATTGCAACAAACTGTGAGGCACAGAGAGATCATACATTGAACGAGGGGGAGATGGTAACAGCTGTCTCTGTTCAAAGATGGTCATCTGATCGGATGGGAACGTCGCCAGTAACTTTTGTCAGCCGTGCACAGACTCCTGGTCACTTCCCAGGTGATGCAGGGAGAGTTTTGTGTCTGATGTTTAAAGGTTGACTATGGATTGTGGGATTTTGATGACCATAATAGATGCATTTGCAAAATAAGGTTTAATACCTTGACCACCTTTGCTAAAGCCTTCAGGACATACACAGTATTTGAACTATTAATGCACATTGATGAAGGCTTTTGCCATGAATGCACTTAACTTTAAACAAATGCAATGCTGCTTACTATGCTGAGAGAAGATGCCTCTCAGTTCTTAGGTAAAGATAAAGATGCCTGCTATAGATGTGTCTCTAAAGTGTGTTTTTTTCTGTTAAATGCAGCCCTCAGCTTTCACCACAGCTCCATCATTCCAGAACTGGGTTGCCAAGCAATGGCGAGGCCAGCAGCAGACTTGCTCTGTACAACAGGGATGCTGCGGATAGGACAAGAGGAGGAGTAGGAGGAGGGAGGAGTCCGGTTATATCTGCTGCCTCCAACAGCCAGAACAGAGATCTCACAGCTGACATGCTCACTTACCAGACTCACAACATCCACAGCGGAGACATTAAAAAGCTGTCCGAGCAAACGGCCGCGGTTTGCACTGTACAGGAGGTCAGAGGGAACACCATGAGCTCACAGCGGCCCAATTCTGGTGGAGCAGAGCAGGATAACATCAACCTCAGGTCAGACCAAATTACATTGGAAACGGAAATGAAAAAGGTTTTTTTTATAATATAAAACATGCAAAAGACAAACAAAAATGAGTAATGGTTTTGGTACTTTTGCTTGTGAGCAACAAAATTACAAATACTCTGTAAATTATGAGACAACAGGTGATGGAGAGGTTGGAATGATGAGTAGGGGCTCACTGTGTGGGTAGAGAGTGAGATGTTTTTATCTCTATCAAATAATAAAAGAGCAATTCTTGTGCTCGGGTTTATTCTGTTGGTTTTGAGAGGGAATTCATCATTGTATCTCAGTGTCTGTGTGCTGGAATGCACCAACAGTGCTGCTGAATCATTCTTTAAAGAGCAAAATAAAGCATACAGTGAATATATTCGCCCACCAGCCTGAATCCCTGTGCAAACATTATCTTTTTCTCTTTCTTTACAGGTTGCTGAGCAATGGCGACAGCTCCCAGACAATCTGCCACAGCCTGAACATCGTCAAAAACATCGGTGAGGAAAATTGTCAAAGGGCGAGGGTAGCTATATATTCCACCCACATCTTCCACCTCCAGAGCTGTTGCTACAAAATCCTCTCTTAGCTGTGAATATATTATATGACTGAGACTGAGCGTTGGTAAAGCACACAAATTCACATATCAGAATCAGAATCACTTTATTAAGGGCTGCACAATATGGTAAAATGACCATATTTGCATCACAATTTTCATAGTCACAGGAATTCATATCATGATGATATTTGTTGGGGTCTGTACCAAACAAACATGTTCTCTTACATCTGGATTTGTAGGTCAGGGCATCTCTGCAGCTCTACAGTACTTCATTATAATGCTGTTACCTTTATCAAACAAATTGCGATTTTGATATTGCACTTGGCCATATTGCGATTTCAATAATATTTTGATTAATTGTGCAGCCATACTGTTATTGGCCAGGTATCTGAACGCATACAAGAAATTTGACTTATGTTGCTCTCAATGTACAAACACAGAATAAGCATGAATATCTCTCTCTATATATATATATGGAGAGAGAGAGAGAGATATATAGAGATATATAATATTACTTTGTCAGGCTTGTTCTCCTGTTTATTTATGCTTATTCTGTGTATGTACATTAACAGCAATGTAAATGTATGCTGATATATAAACAACAGCATTTGTAGACAGTAAGACAATAGAGTGCAAAGGATGCTGGAATAAATATTTTTGTGCAGTTATTTTTTATGTACATGCGATAGGTGGATATGGGTAGATGTGTAAAAATAAATCATTTACAGGTGCATATGCAACATCACAAGCTGTTTATGAAGCCAACCATAGGCTTGATAAGGTTTCAGCCACTGAGTTGTACTGCGTGTCTCTGACTCCTTCACCAAGGCTGAGTGCCTATCTAAGCTGGTATTTGCCTGTGTTGACAGATTACTCACTGTAGTGTACTAGTCTACACATCAGAGTGTACACAGGATAATGATTATTTTACAGGGATTAGTCCAAATTGACTCAAGACAGCAGCATACCCACAGAGCTATGTAAACAATTCAGAAGAGAGCAGAAAGGCTCTCTGCAGTTTCCAGATATATGCACAGATACTGCTCTTCTCTCTGTGCATTTCTTCGGCTGCGTGTGCATGTTTCACTCTCTTATGTAATTCTCGGTCCAGTTCTACGCCCACCAAAGCAATCTGCAGTATATGACTGAGGGAGAGATTATGCAACAAGCCCCTGTTGTTCAAAGTCACCTTCCCTCTTGATATACACATAGCCAGTGGTGCCTGAAAAGAGCATTGTGTTCTTATCAGCAAACTTTAGTTGTAGTTGGATAACCAAACCCACTAGCAACTAATCACTTGCTGCCACACACTCTATGGTGAGGAAATATCAACTTGCACATAGGTTTATAATTAAACATTTGCAATCCAATACAATTACTAATTACCTGTTAAAGAATGCAGTCAGGTACCTGATCCAAGTAGCACAGTATTAAAGTTACTCGATTACTCCATTTGGGGGGCTTAGATGTAGAGCGGGTCGTCAACTAACTTAAATTACTTGGAAAATAAAATAAAAACCAGGATTTTTATCATCATTGATCATCTGCTCGGAGTATATTGAAAGAAAACTTGATTTTCATGAAGGAAATTCATGCAGTAGCCCAGGGTGCAAACTACAGTTGAGCCAGTTGAACATGATTTGTGAAATTTTAGGGGTGTCTTTTGACAATATGATATTTTTTCCATGCGTTTCTATTTTGCATGCATGCTGTTCTTGCCATCACCATTGAAGTCGCGGCACAATAGCATTGACTTCACTCACTTTAACTCAGATCAGAAAATAAACGTTCCTAGTCTCACTCAGCGCCAAATCGGCATTATTCATTCAGTCCCCCACCGTAAAAAAAGCCCACCACCACCCTCCCTCCAGCCTGTGACATGATGTCAAGAATATAATAAAATCCACCTGCAGGAGGATTTTTTAAAATACATTAATTGTATTATATATATTAAGAATTGTATTAATATTTTTCTAGTTGTTTCATATTAATTTGAAATACCCCTCCATACATAATTAAAATAAAAAATATATTTGCTTTGGTCCAATAGAAATGTATAGAAATTGCTGCCTATGAGATAACAATACCAGCAGTAGTCCAAAGACAGTTTGATTTTGACACTGCTGCTATAGACACTTTTCACAGCTGAATGGCAGAATTTATACTGTACTGTGACCTAGTCCCTTTCCTGCTTTAAAGACAGAATATTGAAAAGCTGAATAAAGCTAAATACAACTACGCAATAATACAGTGTTGGGCTTGTTTCTTAAAAATGTAATTTAATTTAATGAATTGAATTATTTCCTGGGGTATATACATGTATGTGTATATAAATAACGGTATATATTTATTTATTTCATTTTCTATGTTATTCTATAACTGTTATTATCTTTTTGCATGTGTATAGCATGAACTACAAACTCTGAATTCATACATTTCCTTGATTAGTTGTTACTTATTATTCCCTGCCAAGGGTAATTGATTACACTACTCCTTATGTTACTTTCCTGCAGCACCCCAAAAAATAATTGTGTCCTTTCTCCCCCAAATTCCGACTTTGCATATTTACCTCTGTTTATATGTAAACAAATATAAGTATAACATATTTCTTTATCCAAAAGTAATTTAAACACAGCATAAAACACAAATATAAACAAATTCTTTCACCCTGATTTTTATGACAGTAAGGTAATCAGCTGATCCCTGTGCTGTGTGGCAGAACTGATTTACAGTAATTAGTGGTAGAAAGTCTCTCAGTTTCTTCCAGCTCTGCCCAGAAGCAGCAGATGTCAATTTACACAATGCCTTACACAAGGCATTGTAAAAAGTTCCACATGTGTACCTAATGCCTGGCTCATTTTCTCTTGACTCTCTAGCCTTCCTGTATCAGGAATACCGGGACACCTCCAAACAGCAGGAGATTGAGCAACGGCGGCAACTAGAGAACCTTCCCCCTGGGGTCACGGCAGGGACTGTGGTTTCAGGATCTGTCACGTCCCCCCCAACATTACAGCTGCAGCTGAGGAACAGCTCTCGCTCACTGAGCTTGTGGCAGAACCTGGATGTTGTGCAGGCCAGTGGTCTGCTCACCCAGCTGCCGCAGAAAGAAGTCATAATGCAAGAGGTAAGTAGTTGTGTGAGGGTGACGTGTTATTTGGATCGATACACCAATGCAAGAGGTAAGCAAGACCAGAAAGGTTTCAGAATTTAGGTGAAGCTGCCTCAGATAGAAGAACAATGAGCCCGTATGTGCCTCAGATAGCTATGCTAATAGGACATAGCACTGGATCAGAATTTTATATCATCTGCTCAATGGGTGTAGGGATCCACACTCAGTATTAATATGTCCTTATAATTTGCTTTTCTGTCTAGGCCATGTTTGAGCTTGTTACCTCAGAAGCATCCTACTACAAGAGTTTGGAAATTTTAGAGACTCACTTCCTACGTAACCCCATTTTGATCAACACTCTCAGCCAGTCCGACATGCATTTTCTCTTCTCCAACATCGAGGAAGTCATGAAAGCCAGTGAAAGGTAGGACACAACGCAAATCAGTCTATGATCGAATGAAGGTCCAGTCCGGCAAAGAAGCTTTTGCTTCATACACCTGGGTAATGGATGCTCTCTTAATATTTTCAGGTTCCTTATGGATCTTGAGCACCGAATTGAGAAGTCCATTTTGATTTCTGATGTGTGTGACATTGTTTACCACCACGCTGTGGAACACTTCAGTGTGTTCATCAAATACGTCATCAACCAGGTTTACCAGGAGAAGAACTACAGACGCATTTTGTGAGTACCTATTTTCTAAATACAAATTTTACAGTCTGGACTATGTCTTCTTCAAACACAGGTAATGAGTTGAAAGTGTTCTGTTAACTATTCCTGGACATATTGTGCCCCTATTTAACAATGTATGCAAAAAATAAATACATTTCTTTGTATTCTTATATCCAAGTCTGATCAGCTTTTCTTCCACCCATAAATCTATCTTTAACTTTTAGCGACGCGTGGCTTTCTGCTGGAGCGCCATGTTTCTGGTGGCCGGGCCTCATTGATTACTGTACAAGAACACAACTTTATCTCTGATTTGTGTGTCAATATTTTATGGAGAAAATATTTAAATAATTTCAGTTTTCCCTCCTCTGCCTCAAGTGCAACAGAACCATGGTCAGCGGCCTCCCAAGCCCCCCTTTTCCACCCAATTAGTTCTGGTTCTTGAACTGGTTCCATTTAAGATTCTTGGAAACCAGCCTGTGTTTCAGCCAGTTTTGAGTGTAACTGTAGTAATCGGATGCATCATCATCAGAGGGCATTGCACAATACACAGCAACCTCCTTTAGTTCCCAAGGTTCCAGCTGGGAACCGACCTTTTGGGTTCCAAACCAATTTATTTTTGGGCGAAATGCTCGGACCGGTTCTAACAGAGCCAGTTCCCTGTTGGTGTAAAAGGCACATCAGTGTATAGTCCCTCCCTATAGCTGTCTGTTTTTACAGGAAACCCGTAAATATGAGGAAGCAAACTGCAAACTGCTTTCTGTTTGATGTGGACAGCCATTTCCTGTTGAAGCCAGTGATGACAATTTATCTAAATATATTGTTATTTTTTATATATTGGACAGTATTTTTGTCTTTAAAAAGCAGTAAATTATAGAAGACAGCTGATCAGAACAATGGTGTGGCCTGCTCGACTGCTAATGACAAATGCACGCTCGGAGAGAGAGGAACTGTGAGAAAGAATTAATATGCGTCATTTCTCAGACACTTCTGTTTTTTTAAGGCTGTGAATGTCATCTCTTTTCAGAGGAGAACAGCTTTGTTTTTGAACATGACAAATGTGATGTGCAGGGTGTGGCTGACTATGAATATAATGCATTCGTCCCTCTTCATTAACCACATACCTGAGTGAGAGTATGACGTTCCCACGAGCTGCAGAGGGCAGGTGCCTCCGGCAGGCAGACAATGAACAGGACCTCTGCCAGCTACTGGAAAAACCTCTTGAAAAGACCTGTTGGTTGTCTCAAAACAAAATGTGTTCTGGAAAGATCTCAAGGCCCGTGACTAGTTTATTTTGGAGATGCAGCACTAAGACAGTCAATCTATTGAATTTCATTGTTCATCTGCTGTTTAGATGTAAATTATATTATGCAAAGTCTATTCAGAAGGTTCATTGTAACAGTCGGATCACACTCATGAGGGTGTTAGGAGTGCCAAGCCTAATTACTTGTCACATAAAATCACATCAGTGGCTGAGCTGCAATGTAGAAATGTTAGTTATATCATCCTCTATAGAGGACATGACAAAAGTGCAAAAAGCAGTGGCTAATTATTTTATGCTTGGGAGAAGAACAGCTGTTTTACTTCTCTCTCAGTTTTAAAGCATGTTTCTTCTTTATAAAAGCTGGTGGATTCTTAGGAGCTTTTCACTGCCATTCATTCCAGGACAGATTATTTCCAGGCTGCATATCATACAGCAAAGGCGATTTGCTCTTTTACTTCACATTCACTAATAGAGGTACAAGGGGCAGCAACTTTTGTACATTTTCTCAGAACTCAGATGCATACCTAGATCCATTATACATGTTCATGGTGAAAGACTGTGGAGGATGTTGGATTGCTGTCAAGAAAGTCCAGAAAGACCAGAACCAATAATGAATTCATCCAAGTATCACCACAGTCAGAGCTACAGACCTCCATTGTTATTAATTAGCAATTAAGGGTACTGGAAATTCAAAGTTTTTTTTTAAGGTTTTAGTTTTTTTTTTTCTTTTACTTTTATCATCTTTATTTCCTGGTTCAGATGCTGGGTTTTCAATAAGGAAACACTACCAAATATGTAACGCTGCTCTCCACTGGGTATTGCCTTTGATGTCTGATTGACATTTATTGGTCTGATTAGCGTTAAAGGTGGAGTCAGTCAGTCTGGAGAAAGCATGTTAATGTTTTAACTCGGCAGCCAAACAAATACACTCCTACCTTAAGTGCTCCCTTTAGACGCTCTGCTGATTTAATGGAAGTGTCTTGCCAAGAAACTTGTCCCGCCCCTCCTCCACTGCGATTGGACAGCTGGATGAAAATGGACAGTGACAAGAGCAGCTTCTGGGCAATTTTTTAACTCTGGGCAGCCAGAAAAAAAGCCAAATATGACACGCTCAGCAAATAATAGATGCTCGGCTCATCAGGGTGGGGCAACAAGGGACGGCCATACATCAGTGGGTTGACTGGGTACTCTACTAACTGCAGGGTTAGTGATTCGATTCCCCGGGTTCCCCTGTCCATCTGTCAAAGTGTCCTTGAGCAAGATACTTGCTGCTCCCTGGGTGCCCACAGCTGCCTTCTCCTAGTGGATAGGATGGATCAAATTCAGAGGACAAATTTCAATTCAATGTATGTAAATGCCATGCTGATGCTTCTATTGCAAACAATGCAAAATTACACTTTGGCGGACACAGCCCACAACGCCATTGAATAAGCAACATGCCATCACACAAACAGCTCAGTGGTTAGGGTTACGGTTAGGCTCCAGGCAATGAATTTAATTCTATGTAATGTCCCTAACAGTGACATGTGTGTGCAAGGGAGCTGTATGAGCAACTAAGCATTGTGTTGTCTTAACACAACTGTGTGTGCAGAGAGGGAAACCAGGCATTCCGGGAGACCATGGCTGCACTGGAGAACCATCCACGTGTCAGGGGTCTGTCCTTCACCTCCTTCCTAATCCTTCCTTTCCAGAGAATCACACGGCTCAAGCTGCTAGTACAAGTGAGTGTGCCAACATGAGTTCAAGTCCAGTAAAACGGCAGGACTCAGAAGTGTTTGATATAATATATATAACGTGTCGAAGTTGCAGTAATAAATACGGGTTTGGCAGACGCTTTTTGTTGTTTTTATTTGTCTTTGTTTCTCTACACAGAATATCCTGAAAAAAGCTGAGGAAAACTCAGAGAGGGAAGCAAATGCTATAAAAGCACATCAGCAGCTGGAACAGGTGAGCATCAGTCAAGGGGCTGGGCCCAGATTGGTGTAGACTTAATGATATGACTCATTATGGTTCATGATTATTTACACACTGTGTTAATAATAATACACTTTATTTATATAGCACTATTCCAAACAATGGTACAAGGTGCTTTACAAAAGAAACATAACACCAAATTAGGCAGATAACAGAAAACAATAAAACAAAAAATTAAATAGGAATAAAACCAGTACACATAAAAACATATATAAAATATTTCCAAAAGCTTTCACATAAAGAAAAGATTTAAAAGACACTATAGAATATTAGTGTGTCTGGGTTCATTAGGCAGTAAGTTCTGTGGTGTGGGGGAAACACACTGTGACCTGAAAGTAACCAGCAGGGCGCCTTATGCAGACCTCAGCGGTCAACAGGCCACATACAGGTCAATAAATCAGAAATGAATACAGGAGCAAGGCCGTTTAAGGCTTTAAAAGTCGATTTGAAATATTAATTAATGAATTTGTTACTTGTTTTGATTAAAAAAAAATGTAATTGTACTACATTATATGAACAATGTTGTGTACTTGTTTATTTCTTTCAAGCGTTCGGGCTCGGTTCGGGCTTGGACATTTAGCTTGAGCCAGTTTAATTTTGTTGGCCCTTTTCAAAGCTCAAATGCCATGATCACTTTCTAAAGTTGTAAAACAAACAGCTATGCAGTGCTTTGGTGTCTGACAACCTTCCTCATTTGTTTGTCATCTATCATCTATCTGAAGCAGTGCATCCCCACAAACTAAAACTAACTGATACAGGGTTGATTTCAGTCTCAGGGCATAGCAAAGCTTAATCATTTTCTGTATTACTGCCAGACTACCAGCTGCCTGTGGGCAGTTCATAAATTTCTTACTCTGAATGTGTTGTATTGCTGCTTCTACCGGTTGCTGCCATTCAGGTTTAGAAATGGCTCATAAGCGTCTATCTAATTAGAGTTATATTTCGGCAATAAATGAATTTGGAGGTCAGGTGTGATTGGTCTGTCCGGCCAGAGTTAATTTATAAGAACTTGTGCTCAGTTTTGGTTTTTGTCCAAGCACTGGCTCCACATAGCTTGCCATATTCAGTGTGTATTTACCCTGAAGGGGAAACTAATGGGACATTAGTTAAGAAAAGCAATCAGTGTCAGAATATTTATTTACACCTACTTATGTCACAGTCAAAGATTTACTGGGTCTGATGGTGATTTCCACAACTCAATTCTGTACAAAGAGTCAGTATCAGTTAGTATTAGTATTAGTTTGTAAAGCATATGGCACAGTGCATTCACCTGCTGGCCCAGACAGACACTCATAGTGATGACAGAAGCAATGAATATTACTGATATTTGCCATATCATGCATGTTTTATTTTTACATGCATGATTTCTTTTTGTCATCTTATTTGCTAATTGGTTGATTCCACTGTTCATTTATTTGCATGCTTCTGGTTGTGGTGGATCACGTCGACCTCCACCATGAGCTGAACTTCATTTTGGATAATCTCAGATAACTCGTTACATCAAGCTCCTGGCATGAATTACAAGTGCAGCTAGTGTTCCCTTGGAACTGAGTTCCAGGAGGTTAGCCTACTGAAATATGACAATGCAACAAATGTGAAGTCTAAAATATGATTTTCTGCCAGATTCAGTTTTACTAACAAATATGCTAATACATTACTCTTCAATGAAAACAAAACATATGATATATTGTATGATGTTTTAAGATCTTAAACTGATGGTGTATATCTGTCTTCCTCAGATTGTCAAAGAGTGTAACGAAGGGGTGCGAAAAATGAGTCGCACTGAGGAGCTTATCAGCATTGAGAAAACACTGGAGTTTAAATCCAAGGTAAACTAAGTCTATTCATTTTCAGCTGGATTGAAGTAATACAGTTCTGTTTTCAGGATTTCCAGGCTTTGTATACTACTACATACTGCATACTATTTATGACATGTTTATTCTTCGTGTGCATCGTTTTCTTAATATGGAGCCTTGCTAATGTGGCTGTAGCAAATTGAGAGGAGAGTGTCAGGACAATCTGACATCAAGCAGTACAATGCTGAAATACTGATAAGGATTAAGGCGACCTTTTCAAACTATAGCTGTGTCCAAATTTGGAAACCATCCTCATCAAGTCTGGATTTTAAAACTGAATATGTCATAAGTAAATAAGTCTGTCCGATTCCAAAGGTTTGAGAAATGAAGCTCTCTCTTTGCCATGCTTTGGACATGTGATTTATCCTTTGCAGCCATCCTTATTAATTTTTGTTTTGGTTTATGAACAACATTTTTGTTTAGCAAGATAATCTTCACAAAAGCATTTTTATGATTTTTGAAGCGTAAATGCGATTGCCAGACGTAAAATGCTAACCTTAGGCTATAAACAAACTAATCACGTTTTTTGGAAATGTCCCTTGGCTGTAGTAAATAGGAAATGGCTGGGTAAGGCCAAAAAGTACCATTTTGAGTATCATAGAGTAGCCTGGTATTTTTCCTGAAAATAGTGCCAATAGTGCTAGACTGGCAATCATGAAGATTCCTTGTGCTTTTCAGTTTTAACAGACTTTAAGAATTGACAGAATAATGAGATTATAAAAACCAACAGTACTTACCCTGAGGTTTATCATTGAGTTATGTTTGGCTCTTTGTGAAACTACTGTGCTTTATACCAATGTGTTTTTACCTCTTTTAACCCCTGTAGTCTGTGCCAATCATTTCCCACTCGCGCTGGTTGCTGAAGAAGGGTGAAGTGCAGCTAATGACTGGGCCTAAGAGCACTAGGACCATGCGGAGTCGTAAGCTCTACCAACCAGTCTACTTGTTCCTTTTCAACAATCTGCTTCTGGTCACCAAGCGCAGCTCCAGGTAAGCACTTGGTAGAATCATTACTGCGAAATCCTTGTGTTTGAATTCATTGCTTGTTTTGTCAGTCTGTTTACACTCAGCTGCCAGTTTATTAGATACACCTGACCAAATCAAAACTAATGCAGTGTAATATAGCAATATCCTACCTTCATAAAGGTTCTTAAGGTTCAGTTTTTGTTCAAAATATTTTATAGGGACTCAACTTTATGATAATTATGGAGGATGTAGTTTGTGGTGCTGTGTAACTGTATTGCCTTAGAGAGCTGTTTCTAATAGTTAGCCTTTCACCATTGATATCAATGGAGGGGACAAGATAATAGATCAGTATAGCGCAATACAATTCAATAGCACCATAAACCACATCCTGCAAAATGACTACAGTACTACAGTATGCAGTTGAATCAAAAACTGTCAAATTTAGTTTAATTTATTTGCACAATAATACAAATGGTTAAATTCAATCTTTCACAATAGTTCCAAGGAATTTTGCATCAGATATTTGGAGAATTTCCATTCCATTAATGAACAGTTTGGCTTCTTTCTTGAAGAATGATTTGCTTTTGTTACAAAAGATCATCAAGTTGCATTTTTTTTACATCAAGAGTAAGCTTATTCAGGAAAAAAAAGAAGAAAAAAAATGAAAGTTGAAAACAGCAGACAGTTCCTCATTTATGCATTCTGTTAGTGCCTTGAAGTCATTGTGTGAGGCTAGTAATAAGTAATATAGGATGAACATTTTTACATGCCATTGCCAAGTCATGAATGCATGTCAAAAATAATAAAGGGCCGAGGATAAAACCCTGGGGTACGCCACAAAGTACTTTGAACTGTTTGGTTATTAGATATGTAACCATTAATAGATACAAATAGTTCTCATTGAAAAAGTTATTAAGCCTCTTGAGAGCAACATGCTATACACTATATATATTTGGAAATAAGAGTATTGTGATTAACAGTATCAAATGCTTTGATCAAATCTGAAAAGACACTAATTACTAATTTCTTATGTAAAATAGAACAAATATAAAACAGTTTCAACAAAAACTCAACATTATAACCTTCACAAAGGTAGGATTTATGGCAGGAATGTTGCATTGTGACTGCAATTGTTTATAGTGGCAACTAAGTATATGTTCACTGAAAGCAGGAAATATTAATTCGGTCAACTTGTTATCAGCGGGGACAAGTTCCAGGTTCTTGACTCATGCACACGGGCCATGCTGAGGACTGAAGATCTTGAAGACCAGGGTCAGCAACTGGCCAATGTCTTTAATCTGAAGCTGCTGGAGAACCAAGAGGAGCGTCAAGTCAGCTACATGCTCAAGGCTGGCAGTATGTGAGTATTTGAAGCAGAACTAGCTTAGGATTCCACTGAGTTGTTGTGAATGAGATGTGGGTTAGGAGGTAATGACAGTTTGTTCAGGCCCAGTGGAAAGTTGAAAGGTGAAAGTTTCAGCAAATATGACAAAAAGTTATTTTCATAAAAGTTACCTACTGCAGCTTTAATGTACATAAACATAGTCGCTTGTTCTTTTAGCTCAGTGTTGTTGTTATTTATAGCTTATTATACAATGGTTTTACTGGTCGGCCCACTTGAGATCAAACAGGGCTGTATGTGGTCCAGGAATTAAAATGAGTTTGATAACTGGGAAAATAGTTTGCCCTATTGTCCTGGTTACTAATCAATGGCATCCTGTGGATAGGAGTGATAAGCTTCGGTGGACGTGTGCTCTCACTCCTAACCGGCGCACACGCTTTATGTCTACCAGTGCCCACCAACCAGGTGAGTATCACACCAACACTGAGTACAGTCCTCAACATGCAGACATGGAGATTTGAACTTAAACTGTCTGTGATGTTTATCAGATTCTCCACAGGTGCAGTGTATTCAGTCATACTCATCTCAGGAGCCAGATGAACTCTCCATTGAGATGGCTGATGTTTTGAACCTCCTGGAGAGAACAGACGATGGTTCGTAGAGGCACAAATTTGTTTTTATATCGCCTTTGTTGACTGTTACTCAAAAATGAATTATTTCCTATAATTTTCTCTTCATGTCTCCTCTCTTTCTGTGTCTTCTGTATTCCAGGCTGGATGATGGGTGAAAGGCTCCATGATGGTGAAAGGGGCTGGTTCCCTAGTCGAGTCGTAGAGGAGATCCAGAGCAAGGAGGTCCGAGCTCAGAACCTGAGAGAGGCCTTAAGGATCCAGCAGGCCCAGGAAGGTGGAGGAGGCCCACAAACTGGAACCAGGGTTAGTTCAAGGCCGGGGAGACGCATCCCAAAGGTCTCCAGTTTCTCCAATCCTTGGACTGATCAAATGGGGGAGAGCAGTGAAGTAAAGCAGTGAATTAGTAACAGTGACGAGTGTCACATTCAGGGCCATATGCACTAAGAGAAAAAGAATCAGGACTTAATTCCCATACTATGACATCCTGTCACTTTGATTTCCACTTAGCAGTGGATGTGTTGTGGTTTTAGAAAATTCTCAGTTTTGGTCTCTGGGACAAATTATTAAAGAGTTAATAACCTTGTACAAGCAATGCTGCATGTCTTATATAAACGTGTGCAGAAGGTCTTTAGTAGACCCACACAATGTGGTGTGTAATGCATGGAGGTTTGGAGCTGTGTGTGGGGATGGCAAGAACCTTAAATCTTCTTGTACAGTTCTGTAACCATCCCTCAGTTGCATGGGCAAGTTTTAAAACTTTTCATGTGTTAATTTCATTGTTAAACACTAAATTATACCCTACACCCACAGCATAAACAGTTAAGTGTCTAATAAAATAAAACATTAAATAGTATTATTATAAAAAAAACACAAATGATTGAATGAATGAAAAATATTCAAAGTGCGTCAGCTAAAGTGACATATGAGTATGAAACACTGACAATAGCCAGACCTGATTTCTGGCTATGAAAGTGTGAAAAATCACATTTAAACACATTATGGAGAACAGCAGCAGTGGTCAGCTTGGCTTCACAGCAGTTACAACAATGACAAGTTTACACAGTGGCTACAAAAGTGTGCGGACATCCATAGAAATCAGCTGTGTAAATGCTAGTTATGAGGGGACCCAGTACCCTGTCCCTATCCGGCCTCATTCCCAACTCCTCAGATACTTCCACTTGGTCAGTGGCCCTCTGTTTCAAAATATGACATTGCAGGTATCTCTCTTGTGTCATTTCTGGAAGCGAAGTCAGGTGATGTAGTATAAAGAGCAGGAAAGTCCATATGTGGAGTGGGTAAGGTGGATAGATGGCTCAAACAAACACAGCACTTTAACCCAGGAGACCACTGTTCGTGTCCTGTGTGAAACCAATAGTAAACAATTTCTAATGTTTCGGGCTGGCTCCTGATAGTCAGCTTAACTGCTAAGAAGAGTCTTAGTCAATCCACTTTTCGGATGGTCGCAGTAAAACAAAAACAACGTTAAACTTCAAGAGCTACGTCTTGTCATCAAGTATTGGGATTGATTTATTCACATTCAGAATCATTGCCACTTATGCCATTATTATTTAACAGTTACTGTTAAAATATATATATTTAAGTAAGGAAATTAGTATCATAAACGTGCAACGATTTGTCGACTATCTGAGTAGGGGGCAGCCCTACTAATATTATGTTGGGTTAGGGTTAAGCCTTTTTTGTGCCTAAAACTTACCAAACTGCGATCATTTCATACCTACAGTGTCATATTTTGAAAGTCAAGCAGTATACCAAACATGACACCAACCTACAACAATTAGTCAATTAATCAATTAGTTGTCAAGTATTAAATTATCCGCCAACTATGCTGATAATGAATTAGAATTTTTTTCTCAAAATTCTCTGATTTCAGCTTCTCAAATGTAAGTATGACAGTAAACTCTTTCTTTATCTATTATATCTATCATTCAGGTTGAGTGGGTTTAATTACCACTTACCCCTGGAACGCTGGTGAGCTTAGCTATCTAGTCAGTACAGCGACAGTGTTCTGCTTTCATACACTTGACTTGTGTCCATGCACAGAGCTCGGTGCTGGTTTCACATCATTTAGATTAACAAAAAAACTCAGACAGGCACTAAAAAAAACTACCTGAGGACAATTGTTCTCAACAAAAAGTCGCTCTGTGCATTCAATTGTCCATATCTCTGTTTGCTATATATGTAATACTGTGTTATATTGCATAGTATTACATTGAGACGATAGCCATCAAACTGTGAAAACACCACTGACAGAAATGGTTCTTTGCAGCGTGCTCTGCTGTCTATCATTACATACCTTATGTTCTAAAAGGCCAGGTCAAATACAGCAGGTCCCACTTATTTAACATGCAGAACACCATGAAAACCATTCATTTTTGGGAGGAGTTGCAAAAATAAGATTATAATTATTATTATATTTATTTGTAGTGTAAAATTTAAAGTTCAGTTATTGTGCTAACTATTAATAAGTTACATTTAACCTTCCTACGTCTGCTCCTCTGCTGCATATTAGAAAAGCCTCATTTAGGTCTACATGCAAAATAACATTCCATAATCATCCAATAAACAAATACACAAATAAAAAAATGTATATAGTAATGTCATGTACTTTTAGTTAGGAGATAATTTCAGATAAAGTCCTCACATTTTAAACCTCCTTCAAAGATCATTTCTTATTTTTTGTGGTAAATAAAGGGATGATCTACTCCATTTTTACCCTCCGATTGTCGAAAATGAAAACAGTCCTTATTTCTAGTAACTAAACTAACAGCTTTTTTCTACCTGCCGTGAACCCAAACTGACCGCAGTTTCTGCTATCAAACTCCAAACTAGTTTCTAAGCCTACAGTGTTTCATACCCAAAGGAATTTGACTATAAAACTGTTGAAGGAGTACAAAAAAAAAAAACACACACACACACACACAAGGGATAAATCCTGTAATAGCAATTTAATGCCAAATAACTGCAGTCTGTCGTAACTGTATAGAATGTATCAACACTATGAACAACTACTGTATGGATCAGCATGATTGTAAAACCTGTGTGTCTTTAAATACAATGTACAGTAATGCAAACACTTGATGTTTAAACTAATAATTATAAACTGTTATTTCATTTTGTAAGATGTAAATTATTGTTCATAAAGAATTAATCAGAGATGTGCCTGACTTTTGCTATTACTTGCTGTTTAGTTATTTTCTCTCCAACAAATTCATGATGCACAGCGCCACAGTTGGAGGCAGGCATACATGTAATTCTGCCCTCTCTCCATATTTGAACAATGCATCAGAGAGTGAGGGAGAATCACCTGTAGGAGACGTGGCTTTGTGGCTACATATTTTGTGTTGCGGTGGGTGTCAGCATATGTAATAGACCTCAGAGTCTGGCCTATTTCGTCACAGTTAGGGAGGGGTGAGAGGATTCAGCTGAACCAAATTTTCAAATCCGAGCATTCTGTGCAGTTTTTATAACTAATTGGCCCAGCACTGATAGCCACAGTGGTGAATAAAACGCGACAATATAATCTTTATGTGCATAGCTCATCAACCTTTATCCTTCTCTTGTCTTGCTGTCATTGTAGACTGAAGAATGTGGTTTTCTTAGTGAGTTGTGTTCATACTTGTGCATTATTTAGCATAATGCATAATTGCATAATTGTATTCATCCTGTTGTTTGTCATTTTGTATCACCCCACACACCTGTGGATATTTATTACTTGATTTTGTGAACCATTGCCAACATGTTACTGCCCCCTTGTCGTGTGGCATACTAGTACCAAAACAATATAAACAACTATTCCAAAACGAAACCAAAAAAACACCCATATTGCCTCCAAAACACACAATATTTCTTTTGTTGGGAAAATGACCTGTACTACCTTCATATGCCAACAAGACTGATTTATTTACAGCAAAAAAACCAACAACAATATTGCGGAGTTCCCTTTTTAAAAGTGTCACATAAAGTTACTCTAATGTAAGTTGGGCACCACACAGGGGCAACATTATCTTTTAATGGGTGGATTTAAATTAAACCTATTGACAGCTGCCGTTTACAGTTTGAAATTTCAATATGATTAATTTATTAACCCAGGACATGTCCTTCAGTCCACATGGCAGGCAACAAAAAATTTAAGCCCCTTTGCAGCAGAGTTTCCTATTCTTGTATTTCACACATTCAGCGTCAGTTGTAACAACAACTTGCGTGAGAGTTTACTGGTACCACAGAGTGAGCTTGCTGCTCACAGATTTCTGTCTTCTGAATGTCAGTGAACACTGAACTTTAATTTAGAAACAGCAATTAAAGTGTGTTCGATATTGAACTCTGGACTTTTGTAGGTCGCATTGGAACTCCACAGATGACTTTGTTCATTATGTGGCTTACAGGTCCAGTGTGTAACATTTGGGAGAATCTACTTTCAGAAAAAGAATATACTATTCATATGTATGTTTTCATTATGTGTATCACATGGAAATAAGAATCATGTGTTTGTTACGTTTGAATGAGCCACTTTTATCCACGGAAGCCGTGGGTTGCATTGCAGGTAGGTTGCCGTGTTTCTCCTACATGCTTCACAGCCCAAGCTCATTCCCAGGTTGCCAAATACAAACATGAGCGGTGTTCAGTTAATTGTGATCTTATCAGGATAAGATCAGGGGAGGACAAGGGGTAAAGGACCCTGGTCCCTGAGTCCTAACCTGCGGCCCTTTGTTGTGTGTCATTCATTCTCTCTACCCCACTTTCCTGTCACTCTAAAGTTGCTCTATCAAAATAAAGGCCCCCCCACAAAAATCACTTTACTCTTTGGTTTCTGACCTAAGACATGTGTTCATGCTTGTTTACGTGGAAGACAGAGGCAGAACAAACTAAACAAACACATTCTCAACCTCTTTCTTGGCTACAGCACATTTCTGCAGAGTGATGGTTAACACTGCAGCTTCAACACTTCAATACATTGCAGGACTAGTTGCAGATGTTCCTCCTAACACTGGCTGAAAACCACCACATCATCCAAGAAGCTGAAAACTCTGACACATCTTTCAGAACATGGTTTATTAGTCTCTGAAATGTAGCTGGCGCCCCCTGGAGGCCAAATGGCATCACTCTGAACAACTGCATAGCAAATGGAGTTTGAAAGTTTGACAACGCAACCTGCCAATAGTGTTTAGTGTTCAATAGTGGTCCAGGTTGGCGGTGTACTTTGCTCTCTCAATGCTGTCCACCAAGTCATCCATTCTGGGATGGGATGAAATTGAAAGGCAGAATTTGGGTATTTAAAGTGAATGGAAAATCTTTCATGCACTGCTTAATACCTCAGTTAGACCCAGTTCAATTTGAGATTTTATTTCTTATTTCTTTGGCACCAACCGCTCAGGAACCTTGTAGCTCTTCTGCCACACTGTAGCATCTTTCTTGAGCTAAATCTGCTAGATTAGGGTTGTGAAATTTGGCTTCTCTCTGAAGAGCTCTGGGTCCTAAGAGGTACAACATCCTTCTGGCGGGGGGCCAACAGATGAGATAGACTACTATCTATCTAAACTAAACTAAAACTAATGTTTTAAAGAGTTCGGTCTAGACCTGCTCTATTTGAAAAGTGTCCTGAGATAACTTCTGTTATGAATTGGCGCTATACAAATAAAATTGAATTGAATTGAATTGAATTGAATTGAACTACTGGGTTGAACTCGCTGGCAGAGGGGAACCAGGGAAAAGCTGGACAGAAAAGTGATGCAGAACACAAAGGAAAAATCTAAATATATGCATTATTCTTTTTGATCCATACAACCAATAGATTGTTTTCACAGCACGCTTTTGACATGAAAAAGTAGGATAAACACAGGTGTTACTAATGATAATAATTAAAGGATTAGTGTGTAGGATTTAGTGGCATCTAACAGTATAAAAAGGTTAACAGTGAACAACCCTGTCCATAGCCAGTGTTTGGTTTGTCCATTCTGGGCTACTGTAGAAACATTACAGACTCCATGGAAGGCAAATGGCTCATTCTAAAGTAAGAAAAGACTATTCTTATTTTCAGGTGATTCAGGATACATTAATGAAAACATGAATATTATATTCCATTTCTGACAATAGATCCTCCTAAATGTTGGGGGACCTTTAATTGCCTCTTGTGAAATCTTGTGAAATTCTTGGATGGACAAAAGAAACATAAAAAGGATTTAAACACACACAATTTCTCAACTAATAATACAAACTATGAGTTCAAACAATTGTCTTACAAAACTGAAATAAGTTGGATTGTCAATAATATTTCTTTCTAGAGTTTATGTTTTTGAATTTAGTGACAGGTCACTAATTTGTTTACGATATGCAGTTAAAGCCACTCTCCTAACTCTCTGAAAATAATGAGCTCCCTCGTTGAGGAGGTGCCAGTACAGACAGTGGTAATGAGTTCCCAGTTCTTGGAGGTGTGAGAAGTCAGGAGAGGAGGCTAACATCTGTCTGCATCCCCACCAGACCTTGATTCACACTTCTAATTGCTGTTTATGTTGCATTAATTATTACACCAGACACAAACTAAAAATATACGTTATATCATAGTATGCCGTTTCCAATAATGAACACAAAACTTTAGTGTAAAACTGCTATGATTTCTCATTATGTTGCAACTTCTGGCTTTTTCTTTTTTTTGTGTGTAGCATGCATGTTCTCCCCATGTTTGATTGTAGGACAAAAGACATATACCTGATATGGACAGGGGGACCAGAACACTTGCACATTTGTATAACTGATGCATCTTTCTGTTCTTGCTTTTGCTAGTGTGCTTCCATCAAAACTAAATTTAAACACACAACACACTGAATCAAAATTTGAAAAGTAATTGTCATTTAATAGCATCAATCTTTTAAACAGGCTACTGATTTCCTAAAATATTTTGTCACGTGGTGATTCTGGCAAAGCACATAGTCAGAGCAGATACTACAGTATCCAATTCCATTCGGATCCCATTTAATAGTAGTAACTCATTCTCATTCCCAGGCCGCCAAATCCAATGCAGTACTCATTAAGAAGTAAGGGTATTCATGTGGACAAAAATCAGAGTTCTCGCCCATTTCAGGCTCTGCCGAAGTTTGATAATACCTTTGTTTCATACAGATGCACAAGATAGTGTATGTATGACACTACTATCTAACTCCAATGCAAGAGATGCGAGATGGATGGGGTGGATGGATGGGTCAAACAAACCCAGGAGACCGGGGATGATGTCCGATGTCAAATCAGTGTTGATTTAAAGTTTTTAGAACATAATGTAGGTGCTATGGTAAATCACAGTGGTACCATTTGTTGGTACAACAGAGGTTTAAACATATTGGTGCAATCAATTCATTATGGTTATCAAAGTGTATTAATTGTCAAAAGATAATAGAAAATGACTTTAATTAAAATAAAGTTCCTTGGGGCACCACCCTTAAATAAGGGAAACGATAGCCAATGATTGATTGATCAGTCTAAAAAAAACCCACTACACTATTAATTTAGAAATCAGATTGATACTTAAATTAATAACTATAACAAAAATCACTATTAATAATTAAAGTGGAAGGCTTTGGAGTTCTTCATAAATGACGTTGTGTGTGTGTGTGTGTGTCTGTGTCTGTGTGCATGGGGGGTTGCGCGCCAGAAAAGGTGTGTTTCCTTTGTCCTCTGACCAGATGTTTCAGCCGAGTATGAAACACGTGTTGGTGAGAGACAGAGCATGGAGGAGCGGGAGGGTTTGATTTCCCTCTCCTCATGTATGTGCTGAGGTTAAGGCCGAATTTAGGTGTGTATGTATGTGTGTGTGTGATCATAGATTAACGGTGCCGTTAAAAGGGAGTTAGTTGCATGCAAAGATAGCGTCTGTGTGAAGCATAACATTAACTAACATCACCTTAACACTGTCTCAGAGACTACAGTTACTACAGTAACCTGCGTTAATCAAATCAACAACACAACAATATAACCTGAATATAAACACAACATAATGACTTATGTCACCTGCACTGTAATCCAATAACTCATAACTCAAAAAACAACTTGGTTTGGGTTAAAATATGGTAAGGGGTAAGTTAGGAAACAACCTAAAAATGGAAAATAAATTACTGATAGTGTAAATATACTAAAAGACAGTGACCCAAACATACTTCACAACAAGACCCTCACCTACAGAGACCCTAGAGAGAAGCCCTCGCAGCCAGCTGGGGGTTTACAAACACATACGGAGATCCCATTTAACTAAACCAAATCATACGATAACAAAAAGAAAACTATTTGACACCTCGGACAGAATCAAACAAAAAACTGAGCAAACTGGATGCAATTAGGCCCTAAACAGAGAATACTCAGTGGCAGATTAACCCGACCGCTGTGACAGATTTAGAAGGAAATCTGGGACCATGTACAGAGTCAGCGAGCACATCCTTGCCATGGAGAAAGGCAGACCTGGCTCCTCAGAGACCACCCAGGTGGAAACCGAGCTGCACTTTTAAACTGTACCAAGACATCAGAGACATATAGCCTACTACCTACAGATTACAACCCAAAAATATTTGAACATGGCTTATTACAAAAACTTCCACATCTGCTTGGTGTAATACAGAAATGTATAAATGCAGCAGCAAGATTTATGAGCTATTGAGACCGGAGATTGACATCCAGTGGAATACAACCACCATGTAGACTGTCAATCAGCTTTATACACCTGCATGGACATTTTTCATGGAAAGAAGAACAAAGAATATCACTTGAAGAATTTTCTCCATGGAAAATATGTTTTTGCTCTTTTCCTGACTGGCTTCATTAAGAGTTTGACTACGTTATGGTTCATTGATCTGATTGGTTGGAGTGTGCCTCTGACAGTGATAGACAGATGGTTTATCCAATCAACTACAAAGTATTTTTTTAAAGTGCCTTCCCTATTCCACAGTTTCCAACCACGACTTCCCAGATGGTTCTGTGTAACAAACCATTTGACTCAGTCAGGTCAATGAGTTACAGGTCAAAAATTGTTTAGCTGATTTCATTGACAGTCGGCAGCGGAGCTGAGAGGGTCGGAGCAGCTGCTGGCGTTAGTTTTGGGGTTTGTGGTCATTTTGAGACTCAGCCTGCCATGCTGCCGCTGCTGCATTGCTCCGTGTACAGGAGAGATTCAGCTGACATAGTACGAGTCAACTTTGGGTCTTCTCAACTGATGATTTGAATCACTGACGTTTCAAGGGCAGCCCTAGTTACAGCTATAAGTTAAACCCTCTGGTAGGACTGTCCTGCTGCTTGGAAAATATTGCTAAAATAATACCTCCATAATTCCTTGAATATCTCCAGACATACCTAACTATAAGGCATTTAGTCACTTTAAGATCTTGACTTCAAATTTTCAAATCCTGTTTGTCATTTTTAAAACCATATAGGCTGAACTTTCAAAGCTTCCTTTTAATCTTTTAAATCTTTAAATATGCTAGTACACCTTGAACTGTGAGGAGATAGTCACCTCCTACAGGACATTATCAACAGGGACAGACTGTCCAACCTTACTCCCTGCAGGTCTATAAGTATAAGTATAGCTCAAACTGACCCCATATGAGGCAGATTCATACTGCCCAGCTGGCTATGGAAGGTAAGTGTCGGATTGAAGCACAGCTGTGTTTGAATATGCTTTGAATATCATATTTTAAGTGATTTATGAGCAGTTTTTAAATAAATCATTGATTGCAAATGTTTATTTTACGTAAGCAGACTGGTGCTTGATAGCTAATCATTACATCAGTGGCATAAATGCATTTCATCAAATGAAATTTACCTTCTGATGTCTGGTGTAAGATTTGCAGCACTGGTTTTAGCCAATTCACTACTAGTTTCGACACTGGCTGATTTTTTATGATGTGTGTTTAATCTAGTAGTAGATGTTGTCTCATACATCTCTTACATGGGTACCTTTAATCAACTGATATTATTTTATATGCTTCTAATTAACGTTGCGTAGATAGTATTGATATGTGTGTTTTAATACAAGCTATTTGATATTATATTTTCATACATTTTATGGACTTTCTCACTTTCTAAGATTGATGTGTAGTTTTATTAAAGGAGGTTATTTAAGAGAATGTGAGTTAGAGCTTTGATTCTCTGCCCACTTGGACCTGAAATGGCCCACCAGGTTCGGGCCCAAAACTGCTGCCACGTATCAGGCTTGGGACTGAATTAGATTTTTTAAAATGATATATTTAATATTTCATTTATAATGCATTCAACTGTAATTAATCAGTGAATTTGTTATTTGTTTTGATAGTAATTTACACTATACCATTTGCACAATGTAGTTTAATTTAGTTAATTACTTACATTTTCTTAAGCAGAAATGTGGGTTTGGGTTGGTCTCGGGCACAGAACTGTTTCCGTGGTACAGGCTCATTCCAGCCTTACACAGAACTGGGTCGGACTGGGCCTAATCAAAGCTCTTATGTGACTTTCTGCTCAGTTTGAGTCTGATGAAGATGCACCACCACTGAAACATTAGTCATTGAATAACATTTGTTACCTTACTCAGTGTGCTCCAGTTACTTTAAGGTATATCTCTGAAGTTTCTCCTGATACAAGATTGCCCTGCTTGAGAGCACCAGACAGGACCTTTTTCCTTGTGAGTCTGTTGAAGTGCGTGTATTCTCCTCCCCTGCAAAAGCGGCAGCGCCTTATTTTTCACAGGATTTCACCTTACTGACATTAGCTTCCTTTGACAAACACACATTGTATCTTTTAGTCTATTTACACATACTGTAAATTTTCTGTGCTAAAATGTTGACACTCTTTATAGTTGAATATTACAGCTGTCATTACAATTAGTTAATGTTTCTCCTCCAAATTGTTTTTCAAATAAATTTCAACCTGTACTGCTTAGGCCCTTATGTTTTGTCCTCCTCACCCCTCTCCATGCTACCTTTTGTTGCATATTAAAATAAATGGGTTACTATGACATGCATATAACTCATATTACTAATAAATAAATGTAAACAGCCTGATGTTATTTAGCACAACAAATTAAAGTAATCTTAGAATATTTGATTAAAGTGTTAAGTTTTGCCTTCCTCGCCCCTCTCTGTGCCACCTTTTGTTGCATCTTCTATGGGTTATCATGACATATTATTGAAAATTAAAACTATTATTTAATTAGCGTTCAGCAAATTAATCTTGGTATAAATGCCACAGATTTTATTTTAAATAAAGAAATATAGACTCAAAAAGATATGTTTCAGCACGTTTCAGTCTATTCCTGAATTTATCATTCTCCCTTCAAACAGATGGAGCCGGCGCTCTGCTACGAGTACATAAATGCTTCATGTCTGAGGACCATCTATCCCTTGCCCACACGCATCACCCTCTACGTGATTCTGGGGTTCACAGTCATCATAACAGTGTGTGGAAACCTGTTGGTAACTGTCTCTATCACCTATTTTAAGCAGCTCCACACTCCAACCAATTGCCTCTTAGTGTCTCTGGCTGTTTCTGACCTCCTTCTGGGGTTGTTAGTCATGTTCCCCAGTATGATTCGATGCATAGAGACTTGCTGGTATTTTGGTGACGTCTTCTGTAAAGTCTACATGAGCTCTGATGTCATGTTGTGTACAGCGTCAATACTAAACCTGTCATTCATATCACTGGACCGACACTACGCTGTCTGCCAGCCTCTCCAGTACAGGAGAAAGGTAACTGTTAACGCTGTGTTGATCATGATTCTGACCACTTGGAGTGTTTCAGCTCTTATAGGCTTTGGAATGATTTTTCTCAGGTTAAATATTTGGGGGATTGAGGAGTTCTACTATAACTACATTGCGTGTGAAGGGAGCTGTGTTTTGTTTCAGAGTGGACTATCGAGTACAGTCTCATCAGTACTTTCATTTTACATCCCAGGAATAATAATGCTTGCTGTTTACCTGAAGATTTTCCTGGTGGCACAGAGACAGCTGCGCAGCATACAGAATACAAGCTGCATGAGCTCAACAAAAGTATCAAATACAAGCCAGACAAAAGCCACCAAAACACTTGCTATCATAATGGGGGGCTTTCTTTCTTTTTGGACTCCTTTTTTTGTATGTAACATCATTGATCCCTTTATCAATTACTCAACACCACCTGCTTTGTTTGAAACCCTTGTATGGGTGGGCTACATGAATTCTGCTGTCAACCCTTTAATATATGCATTCTTTTACAGCTGGTTCAGAAAGGCATTTCGATTATTTGCTTCAGGTAAAGTTTTTAAATCTGACATTTCAGAGACCACACTTTTTACAGAATAAATTGATGCAGACACCTCTGGGAAGTGGATGTTCTTTTTTCTTCTATTTTTTAGAGTAGAATATATATTTATTGTCCAGCAGGCTATAGAATTTGTCTTCAGCTCATCAAAATATATCATAAAAAACAGACAGTAGTTAGTAGAAACACACAGACAAGGTCATATTACACATTTTTAAACAGTTCATGTCAGGGCATAGATCTCATTAGTCACTCTGTAGAGTTAAGAATATAGATGACTCTTGGGATGAAGATGAACCTTTTAAAGGTCCAGTGTATAGGATAGTTAGTCGCAGTGTAGTTGCAGATCACAACTGCCTCACCTGCCATTCCAAGTGTGAAGAAAAAACTGTCTGCAAAATGTGCGTAAAAGGCAAACACCCCTAGAGCCAGTGTTTGGTTTGTCCCTTCTGGGCTACTGTAGAAACACAGTGGTTCAACATGGCAGACTCCATGGAAGTCGACCTGTGGCGTCGATAGATTAAATACAGTATATGATGTACCTAAGTAGAGACAGGGATCTCGACAGCGTTGTTGTGATCGATACAGCCATGTAATCCATTGAACACATATTAAATTTCAATTAAATTCAATTCAATTTTATTTGTATAGCGTGGATTCATAAGTATCTCAGGACACTTTTCAAAAAGAGCAGGTCTAGACCGAACTCTTTAAAACATTATTTACAGAGACCCAACAGTTCCCACCATGAGCAAGCACTTGGTGATGGGGGCAAGGAAAAACTGCCTGTTAAGAGGCAGAAACTTAGGACAGACCCTTCAGCTCTAGGTGGGTGGTCATCTGCCTCGACCAGTTGGAGCGAGAGAGAGAGAGAGACAGACAGACAGACAGACAGACAGACAAAGATGCACAGCAACAACAGTAGCAGCAACTTCACTAATAGTAGTGACTGATGATGATGAACATGAAGAAGATGATGGCGACGACAACAACAATGGGGGAAAATGAGCAGAGCACAATAGTAATAATAGTAACTGTAGTAATAATATTATTAATAATAATAATAACAATAATATCAGTGATATTAGCAATGGCAGCCAAGCAGGACCATGGCAGGAGGCTCCACCAGGATCCATGAGAACCTGCGAGATGAGAAAGCACAAGAACTCCAGGGAAGAAGTGAACTTTTCACAGCTATTGGTTGGACATGCTACGGTAAGCGTACTGAATCATTTCCGGTTTACTTCCTGCTCTGTGTACACTGTTTGGTGCTGTAGCTCTGTCCAGTGAACGCTAAATCTAAATTTATTTTACTCGTTACAGCGGTTATTTTCCCACTTTACATTCAAATGTAGACTAGTTCTACCTAAAACACTCGGAGCTACTCCTTCTTTTAGCGACTTTTCGCTATTTACAAAAGTTTTCACACACGCTAGCTTCATTAACATTAGCAGTTAGCAATGGCTGACTGCAAACCGCAGAAGCCCCCAATTCACCACAAACCCATTCACGTTTCTAATACATTTTCTCCACTCAGCGACACACCCGCTGAGGAAACAACTTCAATTCAATTTTATTTGTATAGCGGCAATTCATAACAGAAGTCATCTCAGGACACTTTTCAAATAGAGCAGGTCTAGACCGAACTCTTTGTAACATTATTTACAGAGACCCAACAGTACCACCATGAGCAAGCACTTGGCGACAAGGGCAAGGAAAAACTGCCTGTTAAAAGGCAGAAACCTAGGACAGATCCTTCGGCTCTAGGTGGGTGGTGGTCTGTCTCGACCAGTTGGGGTGAGAGAGAGACAGAGACAGAGAGAGACAGAGAGAGAGAGTGAGAGAGAGAGACAGACAGACAGACAGGTGCACAGCAACAACAGTATTGGCAATGGCAATCTAGCAGGACCATGGCAGGAGGCTCCACCAGGATCGATAAGAACCTGCGAGACGAGAAAGCACAAGAACTCCGGGGAAGAAGTGAAGTTAGTAACATGCATTAATGGAACATGAATGAGTGCAGAAAGAGAGAGGAAGAGAGGAGCTCAGTGCACCATGGGAATTCCCCGATAGTCTAGGCCTATAGCAGCATAACTAAGGGATGGTTCAGGACTCACCTGATCCAGCCCAAACTATAAGCTTTATCAAAGAGGAATGTCTTAAGCCTACTCTTGAATGTGGAGAGGGTGTCTGCCTCCCGAACCACAACTGGAAGCTGGTTCCACAGGAGAGGAGCTTGGTAACTGAAGGCTCTGGCTCCTGTTCTACTTTTAGAGACTATAGGAACCACAAGTAGCCCAGCATTCAGAGAACGTAGTGTTCTAGTGGGGTAATAGGGTACTATGAGCTCTTTAAGATATGAAGGGGCCTGACCATGAAGAGCTTTATAGGTGAGGAGGAGGATTTTAAATTCTATTCTACATTTTACAGTGCAGAGAAGCTAGTATAGGAGAGATGTGATCTCTTTTTCTAGTTTCTGTCAGTACTCGTGCTGCAGCGTTCTGAATTAATTGGAGCGTTTTAATGGACTTATTGGGGCAACCTGATAATAAAGAGTTGCAGTAATCCAGCCTTGAAGTAACAAATGCATGGATTAGTTTTTCTGAATCTGTCTGTGATAGTGTCTAATTTTTGTAATATTACGTAAATGAAAGAAGGCAGTCCTAGAGGTCTGCTTCATGTGGGAGTTAAAAGACAAATCCTGATCAAAGATAACTCCAAGATTCCTGACAGTGGTGCTAGAGGCCAAGGTAATGCCATCTAGAGTAACTATATCTTTAGACAGTGAGTCTCTAAGGTTTTTGGGGCCAAGAACAAGAATTTCATTTTTTTCTGAGTTTAACATCAGAAAATTGCAGCTCATCCAGGATTTTATGTCCTTAAGACATGTTTGTAATTTAGATAAGTGATTAATTTCATCGGGCTTGATCGATAGATATAACTGCGTATCATCTGCATAACAGTGAAAGTTAATGGAGTGATTCCTAATAATGTTGCCTAAAGGGAGCATATATAAAGTAAATAGTATTGGTCCAAGTACAGAACTTTGTGGAACTCCATGACTAACTGTAGTATTTATTGAAGATTCATCGTTAACATGTACAAACTGCGAACGATCTGATAAATATGACTTAAACCAGCTTAGTGCGGTTCCTTTAATGCCAATTTGATGCTCAAGTCTCTGTAAAAGAATATCATGGTCAATGGTGTCAAATGCAGCACTAAGATCTAATAATACAAGTACAGAGACAATAGTAATAATTTTATTATAGAAGAAGCTCATGAAGTCATTGCTACTTAAGGTTTTGGGGATATGTGGCTCAGTAGAGCTGTGGCTCTCTGTCAGCCTGGCTACAGTGCTGAAGAGGAACCTAGGGTTATTCTTATTTTCTTCTATTAGTGCTGAGTAATAGGCTCCTCTTGCATTACGGAGGGCCTTTCTATAAGTTTTAAGATTATCTTGCCAATTAATTCAGAACGCTGCAGCACGAGTACTGACAGGAACTAGAAAAAGAGATCACATCTCTCCTGTACTAGCTTCTCTGCACTGGCTCCCTGTAAAATGTAGAATAGAATTTAAAATCCTCCTCCTCACCTATAAAGCTCTTCATGGTCAGGCCCCTTCATATCTTAAAGAGCTCATAGTACCCTATTACCCCACTAGAACACTGCGTTCTCTGAATGCTGGGCTACTTGTGGTTCCTATAGTCTCTAAAAGTAGAACAGGAGCCAGAGCCTTCAGTTACCAAGCTCCTCTCCTGTGGAACCAGCTTCCAGTTGTGGTTCTGGAGGCAGACACCCTCTCCACATTCAAGAGTAGGCTTAAGACATTCCTCTTTGATAAAGCTTATAGTTTGGGCTGGATCAGGTGATTCCTGAACCATCCCTTAGTTATGCTGCTATAGGCCTAGACTATCGGGGGATTTCCCATGGTGCACTGAGCTCCTCTCTTCATCTCTCTTTCTGCACTCATTCATGTTCCATTAATGCATGTTACTAACTTCACTTCTTCCCCAGAGTTCTTGTGCTTTCTCGTCTCGCAGGTTCTTATCGATCCTGGTGGAGCCTCCTGCCATGGTCCTGCTAGATTGCCATTGCCAATACTGTTGTTGCTGTGCACCTGTCTGTCTGTCTGTCTGTCTGTCTGTCTCTCTCTCTCTCTCTCTCTCTCTCTCTCTCTCTCTGTCTCTGTCTCTCTCTCTCTTTCACCCCAACTGGTCAAGACAGACGACCACCCACCTAGAGCCGAAGGATCTGTCCTAGGTTTCTGCCTTTTAACAGGCAGTTTTTCCTTGCCCCCGTCGCCAAGTGCTTGCTCATGGTGGTCCTGTTGGGTCTCTGTAAATAATGTTTTAAAGAGTTCAGTCTAGACCTACTCTATTTGAAAAGTGTCCTGAGATAACTTCTGTTATGAATTGGTGCTATACAAATAAAATTTAATTGAATTGAATTAATGTTGATCGTAGTGAGCCTGCAGCACTATCAACAAGATTATCAATTTCAGAGGAACTAAAGTTGTTATAGGATTCTGTTAAATTCAGACATGGCATTGAATTAAACACTGAAGGAATCTCCTCCTTAAATTTAGCTACAGCACTGTCAGATAGACATCTGCTGTAGGAAGTTTTGCCTAATGGCTTATAATCTAATAGTATGAGTTCAAAAGTTATTAAATAATGGTCAGATAGGAAAGGATTATGTGGGAAGACTATTAAATGTTCAATATCAATGACATATGATAGAACAAGGTCAAGAGTGTGATTAAAACAATGAGTTGGTTTATTTACACTCTGACAGAAGCCAATTGAGTCTATTAATGAGATAAATGCATTACTAAGGCTGTCATTGTTAACATTCACATGAATATTAAAATCACCTACAATAATTACTTTATCTGATTTAAGGACTAAATTTGATAAAAACTCTGAGAATTCAGATATAAAATCAGAGTATGGTCCAGGAGCGCGGTACACTATAACAAATAGAACTGGCTGCAGTGTTTTCCAGTTTGGGTGAAAAAGACTAAGAACAAGGCTTTCAAATGAATTATAATTTAGTTTAGGTTTAGGGTCCATTAAAACGCTCGAATCATATATGGCTGCTACTCCACCTCCTCGGCCAGTGCCTCGAGGAATGTGTGTAATATGATGGGGGGGGTGGATTCATTTAGGCTAACTTACTCCTCGTGGGACAACCAGGTCTCAGAAAGACAAAGTAAATCAATATCATAATCTGATATTAATTCATTCACTAAAACAGCTTTAGAGGACAAAGACCTGATATTTAACAGTCCACTTTTCATTCTCTTATTTTGTGCTACTGAGGAGTTAGTTGAATTTTTATTAGGTTTTTATGTTGGACAGACATAGTCTCTATGGGGTTTTGGGTGGGTGACTGTTCTAAAGAAAGCGCAGAGAAGTGTGTAAGACAGCAGCTGTGCTTCCTGGTCCCAACACTGGACTGTCAGGTTTTAGAAATAAAGTTCGCCATATTTCTAGATAAGAGAGCCGCTCCATCCAAAGTGGGATGGATGCCGTCTCTCCTAATCAGACCAGGTTTTCCCCAAAAAGGCTTCCAGTTATCAATGAAGCCCACATCGTTTGCTGGACACCACCTCGACAGCCAGCGGTGGAAGTCCGACATGCGGCTATACATGTCATCACTGGTCACATTGGGCAGGGGTCCACAGAAAACTACGGAGTCCGACATAGTTTTAGCATAGTTACACACTGACTCCACATTAATCTTAGTGACCTCCGATTGACGTAAACGGGTGTCATTACCACCGACGTGGATAACAATCTTACTATATTTACGTTTATCTTTAGCCAGCAGTTTTAAATAGGATTCAATGTCGCCCGCTCTGGCCCCAGGGATACATTTAACTATGGCCGCTGGCTTCGCTAACTTAACGTTTCTGACTATGGAGCTGCCAATAATCAGAGTTGGTTCCTCAGCGGGTACCCTTCCAATGCACCAATAACAAAGCAAAACTTTTCCAACTTTACACGCACTTCAAGGAAAGCACCACTGTTCCTCGCCGAGCTTCCCTTCCGGTTCTGGTCAATGCGGCAACGCTGATGACATCACGGTACATAACACGGCTCAGCCTTCCTCATCAGCCCAAGGTCATATCAAACCCAGTACCTGCCATTTCGGCTTCTCATCCATCTTCTTCTTTACCATAGACTTTAAAAACAACCTGAGCATCCCTCCATCCTAGCAACCTTTTTCCTTCTCTCATTTCTAACTTCCCTGTCCTCTCTTTTTTGGCTGCCTCCGCTCCTCCCATTCCAACACCGACCTTCTCAGCCACACAGAGCGTGCCCACAACTACAATCCATGGCAATGCTACCAGCCAAAACCCTTATCTTCATCCCGTTTCTTCATATGTACCTGGTGTTTCTTTTCCTTCATTTAATGCACCTCCTTTTTTTTTTTTTTTCACAGGTCCCCACATAGCCCAATCGTGGGCTTTCCCACCCACCCTCCCATGCATAATAATTTCACTCTAGCCTCTGCATTACCTCCAGTGTGCCCAGTCTTATCCTCCTGACCACCCCCTGTGTCACCCACTCTCAGACAACAGATTTTTGCCTCTCACTACGTCAACCTTGCCCATTTAATTCTGCGTGCTGAACTTGCCTTCTGTCCTTTTGGTCCATCAGGACCTGGTCCCCCCTTTGTTCCAGGGTCTCCTCTCCTTCCCTGTTAATATTTATTTAACGATAATCATCTATGGCAAATTCTTAAAATGTATATGTAATATATATTTTTTGTTAGTTTGAAATACCGGTTCAACTCTTAGTCCAGGTAAAGCAAGCAAGCCCCTGCAACAGTTAATAGTTTTATTTCAAAGTCCTCATCGTTACATTAGTTTACAGACGTATATGTGCCGACCTCGCCCATTTATTACATCTGTCCACATGCAACCTTCAAGTCCCCAGAGAACTGCAAACTGCAGGTCAGAGCTGGATGGTTAAACGTCTCTGATACTTGACCAACCTCACCTAAAATCAACGTAGCCCTGCAGTTTTCCGCAGTATGACCTCATCAGCCCCTCATCCATCTATCACCCCCAAATCCGCAAACATTCAACCACGCCCCTCACTCCAAGGGTGTCCCCATAATCCAACTAAGCACAGCCCACTAGTATCCTAATACACCAATTAATATCAACGCTCTCGCCACCACATCAAAGAACCATTTGTTATCTACCTCATACAAAGATTTACTCATGGTTTTCACCTAGGTTTACAGGTCATGTCAGATTCCTCCTAAATACGCCACAACTTACAGCCACCTTCGAGCCCAACATATTTGATAAACTAATTAATTATTATTATAAAGAAATAAAAGATATATCTGTGATCGGTCCATTTCCCAGTCCACTGTTCCCTACATTCGGAATCAGTCCAACCCACATTGCCACCAGGAATTACTCAAGAAAAAAGACTCACTCACCCATCCTGGCTCGCAGACGCACTAAACAACAATTTCTCTCGCCGCTCAGCCACCTAAACTACGCCATCCGCACCATCCCCCAAAATCGATCCTGCTCTCCCTCGACCCCTAACCCCATCCCTCAACCCTCATACCTTCATCCCTCAACCCTTTCCCGATTGATTCATCCCTCCTACAGTACTCCACATCAGTTTACATTACATTAATTACGTGCAATAAACCTTTCTAAATTCCATACGTTCATTGCTGTGGTCTTTGTTAGTGAAGCCTAGATTTTGGGACTGCTAGAAGGCCTCAGTCAATAGACCACAATAATTCAAGTGGAACCAGCCCATGTAATGCTTTAAAATCAATCGATTTTGAGAATCGATACAGTATCGCAAAATATAATATTAATACTCAAATGTATTGATATTTTCTTGCTTATCAAGCACTGGTATGTTAGAGGCTGACACTTTTCATATGCATTTTGTGTTTTCTCAATTGTCACAATACTATATGTATATATTATATCTATAATGTTAATCACAAATGCACTGAAGTGGCCTATTACCTCGTTATGAGTGCTTATAGAATATTGCACTGACAAAAATGTTGATATTCACTCACCCACCGACCCCCACAAATCTTGGTCCATGGTTATTGTTTTACATAGAAATTACATAAATTTTTGTGACTTTACCACAAAATAATTTTCCTGTGAAATACTTAACTTTTTGTCAGTTTTGCCAAAACAGAGACTACTGTGTGAGGGGCTGTTTTACATGCACATTGATAAATTCCATTCTGATTGGATGGCCCAGTGTGTCATATTTGTAGGTGGTGACATTATGCGCTCTCTTTTCTTACAAGAGTGAGTCTCCCCCTATCACTGACCCATGCCTGTGTTTAGGTTTTGTCATATATGTCTGTGGGTTTATGATGACTGGTAGCCTTTCTCAAGAGCTGTACTGTTTTCCAGGCTCCAATGCTTCGTGTGTTATAGCACAGTTTGGTGTGGGGACCAAAGCTACCCTCACTTTGTTGTTTGCTTTTGGCATGCTGGTTACCATTTTGGGGAACTCTGTAGTCATTGTGTCAATAAGTCATTTCAAGCAGCTGCATAATCCTACTAACATGTTTATTTTATCTCTTGCTCTTGCTGACCTACTAGTGGGTGTTATTGTTATGCCCTTCAGTGCCTTCCGGACCATTCATGGCTGCTGGTTCTATGGTGATGCCTTCTGTCTGCTGCACTCCAGTTTTGATATGTTTCTTACCAGTGTCTCTATCTTCCACCTAATTTGCATTGCTGTAGACAGACAACAAGCAATTTGCAATCCTCTGCATTACTCTAGGAAAATCACAATGCCAGTGGCCTGGTTTATGATATGTGTTAGCTGGACACTGGCTGCTGTCTACTCTTATGGACTACTTTACTCCAAGGCTAACATAGAAGGGTTAGAGGACTATATACTATCAATAAACTGCCTTGGCAGTTGTAACCTTCTCTTTAACCCCCTTTGGGGAGTCTTAGATAGTATTACTGCCTTTTTCTTTCCCTGCACTGTAATGGTTTGTCTGTACACTAAAATATTTATTGTGGCTAAAGAGCATGTAAGAAAGATTGGAGATATGAACAATTGTTCAAATGACAGAGGAAAGGGTGGGTTGATTAAACAGTCTGAGCACAAGGCTGCAAAGACTCTGGGTATTGTGCTTGGTGCATTCATCTTCTGTTGGATGCCCTTTTTCATAAATTCAATAATCGATGCCTTTACTGGCTTCAGCACACCTGTTGCCATCTTTGAAGCATCTGTTTGGTTGGGTTACTTCAATTCAACCTTAAACCCAATTATTTATGCATTGTTTTATCCTTGGTTTAAGAAATGTTTTTATCTCATTGTCAATCTGAAAATATTTAACCCCCATTCTTCAACCATAAAGGTGCATGTTCTGACACATTTATAACAGTACTGTTGAGTGTTTGTGGATGTCTTTGCATTAAGAGCAGGTTTAAATGCTTTAATCATAACTTAGATGGACATTTAACTTTTACTGACATTCTTTTTTTTCCTGCTTCAATCTCTATAGCATTGTGTCCCATGTGCCTGTGGCAGATTTTTGTACCCTTTTGGAAACTTTGAATACATTAATCTATCAAAGCTTTAGCCACATTTAAACATTTAATGTCCCTAAGCATTTGGTTCTATGTTATTCTGATTATCACCAAAGTTCACACTATTACATTACATTCCAGTTATTGACTAATCATTGTGTGCCACCATATAATAAATAAATGATTATATACCTAAGGTTTATAGTGCCTAACACGTATTACATGAGAAGCTGTATTGTTTTTATTATATATATAGTGGAGTTAAAATGTACAACTGCTTCAGTTGACAAGGTAATAAAACATTAGACATTAAACATTGAGACTAAAACAGTTAATTACATAAAACAGAATCAAGTAATTAATTGAGGCATACTTTGTGGAAGTTTGTTGCCCATCTTGTTTCCATGTCAGCAGACTAGTGCTAACCAACCTCAGAGGACTGTAGAGTTGACTGAAAAGGACCAAGGACTGACAAGATCAGAGTATTTTGTTTTGAAACCTTTAAATAATTTATTCAATTCAATTCAATTTTATTTATATAGCACCAAATCATAACTTAAGTTATCTCAGGACACTTTTCAAAGGACAGAGACGGAAACAGAGGTGCACAGCAAGCAACAGTAGCAACAACTACACTAATAGTAGTGACTGATGGTGATAATGATGATGAATATGAAGAAGATGATGACGACGATGACAATTATAAATGTATTTTAAAATTATCTGGCAGACTGGACTTTAATATGTAATGTTCAACTTTCATAATCTTTGTTAAGATTTAAGCAGCAGCATTACACTAAGCTGCATGTCCAATGTCTTGGATTTGTAATTCTTGCTGTGGATTTACATTCACTCTTTGTTACTTTAATTAAGTAATTTTTATGTACTCGTAAATCTAAAAAAACATATATTTTCAAGGATTGTAATGTGATATATTTCATGGACTTTAATGTGCATACTCAATTAGTCCATAAGGGCTGTCCCAAATGGTCAGAATCAGAATCAGAAATACTTTAATAATCCCCCAAACCCACAATTGCAGGTTATGTAACATGTTTTGCTGTCGTCAAGGTAACGTGTTAGATTGATATAGGATTTAACATTACTATTTATACGTGCTTTACATGGTTGAAACAGGATTAAAACTGTTCAGGATTGGGGCAAAAAAATAAGGCAATTAAAATAAGTTAAACCCCAAAAAATAAGTAAAATACAACATATTCAATAACAGATAAGATTAAATAAAATGGTGTGCTGAAATGAATAAAATGCTTTTTTGAGATACATTTTGAGAAGTGTTTCATGTCCCATTCCTATTTATCCAATTGTGGGCCCTTGCAGCCTCTCGTGTATGTCTGCATGTGCAGTAATTAGGTCCTTCATAGAATGTTAAGCAGGATAACGGCAGTTGAGTTCGGGTCTGTCAAGCTTTTTAAGATGTGCCATGAGTTATTCTAGTAAATGTCTCAAGTGAGGAATAACATGGCCCATATTAATTCATCAACCAATAACTTACATGGTGTCAGAAGAAATGTAACGTAGATCATGGCAAAGTTTAACGCTCCAGAAAACTTGGACTTTACTTAACCGGAGCAGTGGAATGTGGTTTCAGAGGTATCGTATGGCTACTAAGCTAGGAAGCTGAACAAGTTTTTAACACTTTTGTGTTCAGGGAAGAGGAAGCTGATGATAATTATGAGACTGAAGCTAAAGAGCTACTTTGTACCGAAAGTCTATGAAACAGCTTATACCTCCGAGGGCAAAAGCAAAGCAACTAAGCAAAGGAATATCTCTGCAATCTAGCTGAGATCTGCCAGTTTGGTTCAACTGATAACAGACCTGACATTGGAAAGAGTAGTGAAGAATGTGTGAGAGTCAGAGCAAATAAAGGGACAAGTAAGCCAACACAAAAGAGGTAGCTCGGCCTAAGTGGCACAATGACAAGCACAAGCAGCACCTCTACAGCCACACAGAGGAAGCGGAAAGAGGCATAACAGCGGCAGTTTCCACACAACAGGACATCGCAATGGAGGTGGCAGAAAAAGGGCATCAGGTACAGTAAGGACCACACCCACAAGCACAATACACAGTGCATAAATTGCAAGAAGGATGGGAACTGTTGTTTGCCATTCGGCAAGACTGAATGAACTTAACACACTGAAGCAGGACACTGGCAGACATTTTCTATGGAAAAGTCAAAACAAAGTACATCAACATTGCACGTGTGCATATGTGTTGACCTAAAACGACTAAATATGGCTGTGAAGAGAGAGAGATTCGTTTTACCTACCATAGATCACATACTGCCATCAAATCCATCACATTGACGGAGACAGCATCCAACCTGAACCCTCAAAAGTAAGCGCTATTACAGGGCTACAGCCATTAGATGACATGCCAAGCCTATGGAGGTTACTGGGTATGGTTCATTACCCAACCTCTCAGAAGTGGTAAAGCCCCTCAACGACCTGTTGAAGTGTGAAGCTGCGTGGACCTGGGACGCAGCGCAAGCCAATGCATTCAACAAGGTAAAGCAACTCATCTTCACTTCACCCACTCTTGCATTCTACAATGTAAACCAACCCACAAAAGTGAGCAAAGAGGCAAGCAGCTACGGGCTGGGTGGTGTACTGCTGTAGCAACAAGCTGTTGGACTGAAGTGTTTTAAGATGCAGCTCACATAGTATGGCCAGTGTCACTCTCCAAACTGTTACAGATCAAGCAGGAGACCAGAAAGGACTCCGACCTGCAGGTAGTGAGCAGACTGGTGACCGAGGGATGGCCAAAAATATGTGAGTAGTTCGGTTACAAGCTGAAGCATACCACCAATGGGATAACTTGTGTTGTATGGGGATTGCATCGTCATCCCACACAGCATGAGAGGTGACGTGACACCAGGGCATCAGCAAGAGTCACGAAAGGGCACGCATGAGTGTGTAGTGGCCTGGGCTGGAGAACGAAATTCAAGACCTGGTGTCAAAGTGCCCTGAATGTATGCAGACCCCACCAACACAGAGGACCGACCACTACAATTTTAAGAAAGGGATTTAAACATTTTTCTGTAGGTTATAACTTCTATTAGCCACAGAACCAATGAGAAAGAAATGCAAGCTGTTAAAAGGATTCTCCAGCAAGCTGACTGTTACAAACCATATCATATGGTATATAAGAGACAGGAAGGTTACATTTGTTAAATAATATTATGTTGATTTATATGTCAGTCTAATCTTTATTTGTAAGATTTATGATACTTAAATGTGTAAATGTTTAACATGATTTAAAGACTGAATTAATGACTTGTTTTGAAAATATTGTAATTTGTACTTTCTTTGTTGAGAACCATGGCAATCATCCTCCTAGTGATCAGTAAACTGTAGTATCATTACAGTTTATTGATCATGCATGCCCTCTTGTCCTCATTGGCTCAGACTATGCCCATCTAATCTCAGCCACAGAGCCGATACTCATGGGGCCCCCTGGTGGCCCATTGGCAGTACATACCAGATTAGGATGGGCTCTCCAAGGGCCAGCTAGCTTAATCCCAACCCAGCAAACTCTTTCCTTCACTCTTACCTGCTTGAAAGGTGAATTGCTTAGAAATGTGGAAAGACTGATTGACACTTTGCCCTATGTGAATGAAAAGACAGCTACAAGGTCAAAACAAGACAAGCTAGCTCTTGATCTACTCCATTCTAAGACAGTTAGAGTAGAGACAGATAGTGTAATGCGCTAAGGCACTCCACTGCTAAGAGTTCCTGACATTCCTGTTCTTCAATCTCCAAAGGCAGCTGTCCTGCCCCATCTCCGTGCTACAAAAAGACGTTCCCTCATCACATTGTCCAACACAACAACAAATACAGGGTTGTATTTGACTGCTTCTTTAAATACATGGGACAAAACTTAAACAAATGTCTTCTGCCTGGCCCAACACTTGGTCCCTCTCTCCTTGGAGTTCTACTCAGATTCCACAAACATTCCTTTGCCATCTGTGGAGATATCAAAGGTATGTACCATCAAGTATGCCTTTTGAATGAGGACAAACCTCTACTACGCTTTATATGGAGAGGGATGCAGTTAGACCAAGAGCCCAGTGTTTATGAATGGCAAGTCTTGCCATTTGGAACAACCATTTTGGAACAAACATGTCCAAGATCACTGTGATGGAAATGAGGAGGTCCTCCAACCTTCTCTCATGAAGCTAAGACCCTTATTGACAAAATGAGACCTCTGCTTGCTGATGGTGGGTTTGACATCCGACAATGGGAGGCTAAGTCCAAAACTAGTGAACTGTGGATCTCAGAAAATGGAGACCCTAAAGAGCTGACACTAGGCCTGCAGTGGAACTGCTTCATAGACATGCTGAGTTACAAGAACTGATTCATTAACAACGACCACGCCATCGAATGTATGACATAAGAAAAGTTTATTGCACATAATGAACAAATGTGAACTGGTGTGGTATACTGAGGGATGAGGGATGAAGGGACGAGGGATATAGTGATGAGGGATGGAGGTAGGGTCGAGTGATGAGGGATGGAGGTAGGGTTGAGGGATGAGGGATCGAGGAATGAAGGACGAGGAATTAGGGATTGAGGAATGAAGGTCGATGAATGAGGGATCAACGAATGAAGGTCGAAGAATGAAGATCGAGGAATGAAGGTCGAGGAATGAAGGTCGGTTGGCGGATCGATGAATGGATGGAGGGGTTTGGCGCGATGTAAGAGGGAACTGAGTGGGTTGTGAGACACTGAGTGGGGGAGCTGTCTCTTCGTATCTCTTGTAGAGAGCCCCAGTGGTTCCTGTATTTGGATAAGAGAGGGAAAGAAAAAGAAAGGGTTGGGTTGGGGTGGGAGGGATGTGGGAAATGAGTCAAGGAGGGAGTGAATGGATAAGGTGTGCTTAAGTAAGTTTGAGCGAAAATGAGATGATTGCAGGGCGTCTTTGTTCCCAAACCTAGTTATAAAACATCATTCAATCATCTACCATCAGCCTACAATTAGGAATATATACAAAGTTCTGGCAAGCCAATATGATCCTTGAGGCTATCTGACCCCTTTCACTACAAGTGCAAAGTTCCTTGTACAGAATCTATGGAGGGAGGAAAGAGGATGGGATAACATCATCCAAACAGATAGCTTGTTGAAGAAATGGCAAACATGGGTGCTGGAATTGCAAAATCTCCCTGACATTCACTATCCTCATATCTATCCAGCTGTGCCCATACAGCCACCTCAAAATCCCATATACATGTATTCTGTGATGCCTCTGAGCGTATTTATGGTTCTGTTGCCTACCTTCAAACTAAAGACAAACATTACCAAATTCATGTCAGCTTCATCATGGCCAGGTCTCGTATATCCCTAATGCCAGCTATCTATCCCTCGCCTTGAGCTATCTGCAGCTTTATCTGGTGCCCAGCTGGCTAACCTACTCAGTTCTGAACAATCCCACTACAGTCAGTGACTCTTTGGACAGATTCCACAACAGTCCTGTCATGGCTAACATCTGACTCCTGTCACTACAAGGTGTTTGTTGGCACAAGAATTGCTGAGATTCAGACTCGGACTGACACAAAGAGCTGGAGATACGTTGACTCAAAGAGTAATCAAGCAATTCAATTCAATTCAATTCAATTTTATTTGTATAGCGCCATAACAGAAGTTATCTCAGGACACTTTTCAAATAGAGCAGAGAGAGAGAGAGACAGACAGACAGACAGACAGAGAGAGAGAAAGAGACAGAGAGACAGACAGAGGTGCACAGCAACAACAGTAGCAACAACTACACTATTAGTACTGACTGATGATGATGACGATGACAGCAACAACAATGGGGGACAACGAGCAGCAATCACAGCAACCGTAGCAACTAGGAATGCACGATAACTTTTTTTTAAAACCGATAATCAATAACTTTCAGCTCCTAAAGGCCGATACCGATAACACACACACATGTACATAATATATATGATCATGACCTAAGATCATGACATTAATACAATGAATAAACCCAAAAACACTTTTGTTTTTAAATTTTTCCAATGAAAAACTATTGGCAAGCCTCTCAAAAAAAAAAAAGGCCCCTTGAACTGATGCAAATACATGCAGCGGGATTACAAACTGAAAAAGTGTATTCCAGAAGTTCAAAAAAATAAATATATATGGAAAATGTATGCACTGACACAAGTTAGATTTAAACATTTCTATGTAAACAAACTGAAAAAGTGCATTCCATAGTAACAAAAAAACAAGTTTGAATGATTTTGGCTTATGGTTCCATTCAAATGAATACCTTTTAACTAAAGTAAATGAAGTTGAGTAGAGAGAGAGAGAGAGAGAGAGAGAGAATTCCGCTAGCATTGTCAACCATAGCCACCAGAGCTAATCACTGCAGAGCCCACCCCCACGACACACCTTAAGAAACACGCTGATCTAACATTATACCTGCAGCAGCGCGAGCGGCTTTATACCTGCAGCGGGTTTTGTCGGCTGTTCGGTCCCGTTCTGTGCATCAAAACTGACTGTTGTGGATTACTGACACTGAACGAGTTCGGACTGAGTCTGTTCCGGTCTGAGGAGATCCGGCTACGCGAGGACAACAAACTGGAATCGGAATCTGTGGATGTTCGTCTGTAGCTAGCTGCTGCACCTTCAAACACAACCTCATTTGGCCATCTTTGAAAAAGCTACTTAACCTCCCACTTTTCTATAGCGATACATACTTCCTACGGGCACTGCACTAGTTTGTTACAAAAAAATGTCGGAATGACATATCAGCCCGATAACTATCGCCCTAGTAGCAACAATAATAACAACAATAATAATAATAATATTCGAGTAATATTAGCAATGGGAGTCAAGCAGGACCATGACAGGAGGCTCCACCAGGGGCCATGAGAACCTGCGAGACGAGAAAGCACAAGAACTCCGGGGAAGAAGTGAAGTTAGTAACATGTATTAATGGGACATGAATGAGTGCAGAAAGAGAGGGAGAGGAAGAGAGGAGCTCAGTGCATCATGGGAAATCCCCCGATAGTCTAGACATATAGCAGCATAACTAAGGGATGGTTCAGGACTCAACTTAGCCAGCCCTAACCTTTATCAAGGAGGAACGTCTTAAGCCTACTCTTAAATGTGGAGAGGGCTATAGGAACCACAAGTAGCCCTGCATTCAGAGAACACATTGTTATAGGGGGGTAATAGGGTGCTATGAGTTCAGATGCAGATAACATAACACACAGCAAAACCCTCCTAGACCTTTCTTAGCAACACAGATGGAATCAAGGCCCTCCATTCCTCTTGCTGAACACCACCAATCCATGTGTGCCAGCTGAATCAGAGCCTGTTAAGGAACTTCCATGTTCTGTGGCACAGTGATGTCAAATGACACAACCTCCCTGATCTTAACAAGTACAGCAACTGGGATGATTTGATAGAAGAAACAAAAAATGTGCTTTATGGGGCAGCGGATCAGAACTCAAATATGCTACATAAACTCAGAAAGGCATCTTCTGCAAAGGGCCCAATCAGAGTGCTTCCCTGAGGAATTCAGTGCCGTGATAAAGCCATACCAAAGAGTAGCAAACAATTCCCCTGTCTCCAGAATATGATCTCGGTCTCATCAGAGTAGAAGGTGGACTTAAAAGAGCAGATACCCTTGATGAAGAAAATGTCCATCCAATTATATTGCATCCAAAACATACCATAACCAAACTCATTATCAAGCATTATGATGAGAAACTGCTTCACCCAGGCCCTGAACATGGATCCTGCGTGGTCACCAACTGCCCCACATTTTGGTGGAAGCTCTAGCTCAATATTCTCGAGCATCATGGCCGATTGGAAGGATAACTGAAACCTACCCTGGAAACTATGGAATAGTTTGCAGTGCAAAGGTCATTCTCCAAGGTAGAGAATACATACGCCCTGTTTTTAGATGAATCCCTCTCCCTGAAATCAGTGAAGCTTAAGCTTAATGAAGCGTATATGCTGCATAAATATGGGGGCGGCTGTTACAAACTGCAACTGTAAGAAGACAACTGGTGGTTCAATGCACTTGTGAGTACCTCCCACATTATAAATAGAGGGCTGGACTTGACTTGCCTTGCTTTGTCATTTCACCTGGATGATGTGTAGATGATGACATGTTTGCCATGTGTCTTTTGATGAACCTTCAATGTGAGTAGCAATTTCTTTATAATAATTTACATCATATTATGGTATATAAGAGACATGATTTAAAGACTGGATTAATTACTTGTTTTTGAAAAATTGTAATTAGTTCTTTCTTTGTTTAGAACCATGGCAATCATCATCCTAGAAAGGAAACACTGAATTGGTTAATAAATGGATGACTGATGGCAATCCTTGTTTCTTGGTGGTCTGTGGCTCCAGTTAGAACCTTAAATCCACAACACTGACCTATTTCTGGCCCTCATGAGTTAACTCTGTTGTTGCAAGAACCAACACAAAAGTCCTTATCTACTCCCACCATCTGAGGAAGTGAAGACCCAGTGGACTAATTTTATTTTTGATGAAAATGTGGCAGATATGTCTGAGAAGAAAATCATTCAGTACAAAGCAAAGAGATAACGGGAACTGTTCTGTTGTTGGCTGAATGTGACCCAATTTAAAACTTGGAAGCTATAATTTTTGTTTTACTGTTTATTTAGTAGGTTAATCTGTTCAGCTTAGTGTTAGCATGTCACACAAGGGTAATGTGGCTAGCATGCTGGGGCGAACGTTGAGTAACTTGGATTAGCACCCAGCTGCTAAGTTAGCTTGCTCCTGGGTAGCCTCTGGGGCAGAAACACGGTGGACTGTGTCCCGCTTGTATGAGATGACCAATTAAACACATTGAGCTACTCAAGAAGGGGGGGGGGCTTAAAGACTGGTCACTGTCAGCATCCACAGTGGATGTGAGAAGAATTCTGCTGAGAGTGAATATGAGTAAAGCTGCTGGGCCTGAAAACATCCCTGGCTGTGTACTAAAAACATGTGGCAATCAGCTAGTTAGGGACCGAGCCAGTGACAACTGCAAGGTCCCTATTGTTTTTGCTATGTTTATTATTATTATTACGTTTAGGACTTTTAACTGCATTTTTGACCCCCTGAACGTATACAATGCGTGCAAATTTGTCGGGCCTGGTGCGATATCGGATATTCTATGCATCACATTCAGGTCAGCCACTAGGAAGGTCACTAGGTGGCGCTACTTTTAGGCAAATTTCAATAGGCTAATAACTCCCGCATCGTTTGTCTCACATTCAAAAACCTTATATCCACGCATTCGGTGAATGGAGCTCAATCTCCCTATATAGGGATATTTTCGCTAGAGCGTGAAATTTCGTAAAACTACGTTTTCGTGATCCATCCATGCGCTTTTGTCCAATTCGCACAAAATTTTGAGCATCTGGAGACCGTCCTGGCAAAAAAAGTCATTTAAAGTATTTTGATATTTAAAAAAATAATACACCGAGCGAAACGAGGACGAACGTTCGACTCAAAAACAAAGATGGCTGCGCCCATATTTCATGGTAAGTTGAGATGTATTTTCTTTGTAATTGTACTACGTTGGTTGTTTTAATGTCGATTTTAAAAGCTCTTACACACTTGTTTACATTGCTGCTTTAGTCCGGTCACCAATTTATGCATTGCACGGTGTTGCTGTGCGTGCAATACAATGTAAAGTTTTGTTTTCTAGCTGGTTTGCTAAATAGGCTAATGTAGCTAACAATAACAGTAGCCTGCCACTGCCCCTGGTGGTCCCTGGTGGCTCGAGACAAACGCCACAGCACTTGTTGAAACTGAAATAGGCGAAAATGGCAAAATATTATTGAAATGTAAGACTTGCAATAACGGAATTACTTGAAATGTTAGTGTTTCTGTAGAAAAACATTATTATTTCACATTGACCTGAAACAGTACCCAAAAGGGGGCATGAGGGACATGTTTTCAGCCTACTTTTGTTAGAAAACAAGGTGAAAATCTGTGTTGCTGCTAGTGGTTTAGTAGACAATGGACAGGCCTACAGCTACTCAGGAAAAAATGGAAATGATAAATGGTTGTAGATTGCTGTAAGGTGGGTTTCGCATCAGAGTTTTGTGGTGTTCCTTCACAGCATATACTGAGGTTGCAGTCTGTAACATACATTGTGTTTTTTTTTTCTTTTTAGTCTTTCTCAACCACAGCATGGTTGCATTTGTGGACAAGGACAGGACCGTGCCTTACCAGGGCAACCTGTACCAAAATGCAGAGAGGTACTTTGTAGATGAGGGCCTCATGGTGGCAGTCGACCTGGCAGGTTGTACTTGCACAGGTGGGTTATTAAAAAGCATGATACTGTAGACATGCGCATACTTAAACAGTCATTTATCCCTGGGTGCTGCAAGTACTGTGCTGACTTGTTTCTTTTTTATTATTCAGATACCTGCAATGTCCAGGTTACTGCACCACTTCCCGTGAATGAGTGCTTCAACAAAGAGCAGACCTTCTTCCTAATCCACCTGATGGGGATCCATCTGGAGGTAGAGGGCGAGGGACCTGCAAAGTCCCTCAATGACCTCAACCGGCGGCTGAGGTTGGGGAAGAAAACGAAGACACTGCTGTGGGAGGAGATGGCTGGGAAGCATGGCAGACAGTTCAGGGAGCAGTTCCAGCCCAAGAAGGTGGCACGCAAGTGGTTGACGCTGGTGGAGGGATCCCAAAAATCTAAGGACAATAACACATCGACGGGAAGGGGGCCTATCCGCTTCCAGTTCTACGCGGAGATGGACGAGCTGATTGGGGGAAATCACGACGTGGACCCATCTGTTGTGGGGAGCAATCGTGCTGGTGTTGTGATACGCCGACCAGATGCACTGAGGCAGTCCAGCGGTGCTCCCTCACCAGCGTCAGCAGACTGGGATCCCTCGTCATCTCCCTGCAACTCAGAGTTGTCAGCGCTGCCCACCAGAGCTCCCTCTCCAGCGCAGTCCACCAGCTCCTCTTCCCCGTCTCCTGCTTCTTCCTCAGCCAGTCGAACTCCAACTCGCGAACCGCGAACAGAGGTTGAGGAAGCGGCAGAGGCGGGAGGATGACCTCTTGGCCCACCTCGAGAGGTCTGATGCTGCTGCCCAGATGCGACACGAAGTGTGTGTGGCAGAGATGAGGGAAACTTGAAGTGTCCTCATCCAGTTGTTAAGCAGGACAAGAAGTGAGGCGGGACAATGACAAAATACACAAAGCATTGTGTATTTTTTTCTTTTTTTCCCTATTTGACTCTATTCTTGTGTGATTTTTGTGTGACTTGTATATATTTGTGATTTATATATTTATCTTCTTTTTTTTGTGTGGTTTTATATTTTAAGCACCATTGCATCAAGACAAATTCCTCGTATGTGTAAAAACCTACCTGGCAATACAATTGTACTTTTTCAACTTTCTGTTTTTTAACTTAGATTAGGCTTTTGTTTTGTACTCTTATTTTGCACTGTTATTATTGTTATAACTTTTTGTCTTAAAATAAACACATGTATATTGTTTAACTCATCCAAGCTTGAGCGTGTTTGACTGTCACCCAGGTGTGTTTAGTTACCAAGGCACCGCACTGCAGACATGCAAAGGATACATTGCATTGTTATCACACCCATAAATAATATGAACCATCACACCCATAAATAGTATGAACCATGTCAGTGCATAGTTGTGGCCAAAGATTTAAGAATGAAAAAAAATGTTGGTTACATTTTACTTGAAGGTATTTACATACTGAGTGACATGACACTGTCTGGAATGTGACCTTTCCATTTCCCCCCATTAAATAGAGTGGTCTATAACTAAAGAAACAGTAAATGTAAGTGTGATGAAGCTGAAATATGAATGCAAGTGTGAACAGTATATTGCCCATTTAGTCTGGAATGTGACCTTTTCTTATGCACACACTGACTTCAGTGCTTATACCTCTAAGCAATTACAGGTGCAAATGGCTGAAATGGCCCATTTTGAGTCTGGAATGTAACCTTTTTTTACGCACATTCACTTTTATCTGGTTCTACAATGTGATAACTGTGCGACACAAGCCTTTCCATTTCCCCCATTAAATAAACTGGTTTATAAATAAAGAAACACCAAATGTAAGGTTTGACAGTTTTATTACAAAACACAGGAACTTCTTACACACTTCCTACTCATTGCCATCTTCCTCTCTTGGACATCCACATGGGTGTTCTTCACATCCTATCAAGGCATCTTGGGCAAGTTGTGAAGGTAACATGCAGCCAAAATGATCTTCACCACAGTGACGATGCATGTGTTGGGCAAGTCTCTCAAGCGCCTCCACTTGCACTTCATCCTCCCAAATGCCTGCCCAACGGTGACTCTACCTCGGCTGATGTCGTCGTTGCGGAGAAGGTCTGCATTTGTGAGAGCCCCGCTGTCACGTCTGGGGGTGATGATGAAGGGGAAAGTCTGACCAATGTAAGCACTATCCCCCAGCAGACGGTACTCCCCCATCATCTCCTGCCATTCTTGGAAAAATGGGGAGGACCGCAGCAGCCTGGCTTCATGCACTCTGCCAGGGATTCCAGTGAAGACGTTGATGAAGCGGCCTTCAGCATTGACAATCCCCTGGAGGAGGACAGAGTAGTAGGACTTCCTGTTCATGTAGTCCCCTCCTCTGACCGGTGGCCTCTGGATCCTGATGTGGCAGCCATCAATCGCTCCAATGGCCCCCTCAAGACCAGATGTGTGTTGGAAACTGGTAGCAGACACCCTCTTCTCACAGCCTATAGGCCAAGAGACAAAGGCCCGGCCAAGGGTGGACATGATGGTCAGCAGTTGGAGTATGGTGGTGCTGATGACCATGAGATGTTGAACTTGTCAGATAGGAGGTCGCCCTTGATGGTGGTCACTTCGCAGGCCACCCTCCTGTAGGTACCTTTGAAGGACCTCAAACCGTGTTCTGGGGATCCTGAAATGCCGGGCAAATGTGTGGTCATCCATGTCCAGCATTATCTGCCATTCTGTGCCAGACTTGAGGATGATCTGATTTCTGGACCGCAGCACAGCCACAGCCACAGCCACAGCCCTATTTGAGGGAGAGAGAAATGAGAAAACTGTGATTAATATAGATAGCTCATATCAGCAACCGTGTTCAGTTTTGTATTTCTATTGCATTACACAAGGCAACGGATCTATCCCAAAAAAAATCAAGATATGTGTCCATTGTACTTTTCACAGTAGCATGTAGATGCCTTAAACAGGTTACAGTCACATTCGTCAAATGTTATCTTAAGCTTCTAAATTGTATTTTCTTCTAAAGTTGTTAGAAGAAATGCGTTACATAGAGGACTATAAAAGCAACACTCACAACAGACAACAGTCAACATCGCTATTGTTTTTACACCAGCAGCTAGTTTGCGAGCCTTCGAGTTTTCTATTTCTATTTTCTTCCTCTATCGCCTCATACTGGAGCTTTTGTTCAACGTCGAGCAATAACCAGACAGCTGCTGCACTGGTGGCGTCCATGTTCTTTCCGACTCGAAATGCCCAAAGACAACTGGAACGCTAAAAGTGGTTCAAGCCAGGCAATGACGTCACATTCTCACTCGGGCTTCGAGTTCATGAGACAAATGGATAGCACCATATGTACGGAAGCGCATTGCATTCACTGGATAAAAAAAAATATTGACAGCATATCTCGTGATTACGAGATAAGATAAAGAAAAAGGAAACGTCTGTAAATCCTCTCTCAGTTACGGAAGCGCATTGCATGTCAGCCATGTCAGCTTTTCTGTTGCCATGGTAACGACGTCACATGGCAAAACGTAACAAAGCCACAGTCCTAAATAAACCAAGTTTTTAATTCACTCATAGACATATATATTGTAGCGACCCTGTAGTAATGTTCTGTTATAATGTCAAATGTTCTGTGAGTTAATGACATGTTTGGGACTGAATGAGTAGGTAGGGGGACGGGGTGCAAGTCTGGGGTGAGTGCGAAGGACACAGTTAGAGAGTTACCTAACTTTATGTTTTGGTTGTTTTTGGCGTGGTTACGGCCGACAGTAAGCTGTACTGTCCCAGCAATAAATGTTGGCTTCGCCATCTTTTCGCTTCTGACACCACAATGTGACCTGATCTCGTAATTACAAGATAAGGTGTCAAAAAATGTTTATCCAGTGAATGCAATGCACTTCCGTACTTAAGAATTGGTTCAGTGGTTATTCCCTTAATATGAAGTGAAACTATACTTATTCGTTACTCAAAACATCATGATGAAACTATGAATTGTTATGATGGCCATTATTGTGCATATTGCAAATATACATTTTTCGTACTGTTTTACATATATGTTAATAGGAGGCTTTTAATTGGGTATCATAGTGAATCAGGTGATTTGTAGGTGGCCTCTGTGTCTTTAATTACAAGACAAGAGATTTTAGCATGTTTCTCCCTTGGACCTGTCTCTGAGTTCTGTTAGAGTATCTCTGAGGTTTTGGCATACATGTCTGTGGGTTTATGATGACTGGTAGCCTTTCTCAAGAGCAGTACTGTTTTCCAGGCTCTAATGCCTCGTGTGTTATGGCCCAGTTACGCATGGGGACCAAATTTGCCCTTTATTTGTTATTTGCTTTGGGCATGCTGGTTACCATTTTGGGGAACTCTGTAGTCATTGTATCAATAAGTCATTTCAAGCAGCTGCATAATCCTACTAATATGCTTATTTTATCTCTTGCTCTAGTTGACCTACTAGTGGGTGTTATTGTTATGCCCTTCAGTGCCTTCCGGACCATTCATGGCTGCTGGTTCTATGGTGATGCCTTCTGTCTGCTGCACTCCAGTTTTGATGTGTTTTTCACCACTCTTTCTATCTTCCACCTAATTTGCATTGCCGTAGACAGACAACAAGCAATTTGCAATCCTCTGCATTACTCTAGGAAAATCACAATGCCAGTGGCCTGGTTTATGATATGTGTTAGCTGGACGCTGGCTGCTGTCTACTCTTATGGACTACTTTACTCCAAGGCTAACATAGAAGGGTTAGAGGACTATATACTATCAATAAACTGCCTTGGCAGTTGTTTCCTTCTCTTTAACCCCCTTTGGGGAGTCTTGGACAGTGTTATCTGCTTTTTCTTTCCCTGCACTGTAATGGTTTGTCTGTACACTAAAATATTTATTGTGGCTAAAGAGCATGTAAGACAGATTGGAGATATGAGCAATTTTTCCATTGACAGAGGAAAGGGTGGGTTGATTAAACAGTCTGAGCACAAGGCTGCAAAGACTCTGGGTATTGTGCTTGGTGCATTCATCTTCTGTTGGATGCCCTTTTTTATAACTTCAGTAACTGACGCCTTTACTGGCTTCAGCACACCTGTTGCCATCTTTGAAGCGTTTGTTTGGTTGGGTTACTTAAATTCAACCTTAAACCCAATTATTTATGCATTGTTTTATCCCTGCTTCAAAAAATGTTTTTATTGTATCGCCACTCTGAAAATATTTAGCTCAAATTCTTCAACCATGAATGTATCTGTAAATTGACCCAACTACACCCAGAAACTGTACTGAACAACATTTTCAAATAAGTTGTTTTTGAAACCAGGCCTTGATCATGTATCAGCATGTTTTTTTTCCTTCAAAAATCTCTATTGTGTAACTGTTATCAGACAATAATCTTTGTATTATAATAGTAGTTGTACTTTTTGTCCAACACCATGCTTTATTTTACTGTGACCCCTATTTTTGTTGGTCTCTGTGTGTGGCAATATTTTTCATGTAAATTTTTTCCGCTCTGTATAAATACAATTACATTTACCATTTACCAAGGTAACTGTGTATTGATTTAGAATTGCTAATTAGTCAATCTTCAAAAGCTCCAAACCTCACTAACCCTATATACGTTATATAGTTTTGTGATGTGAGGGTTTTGTCGCCCTGACTAATCAGAGTGTAGACTCACAATTAAGTGTCATGCATAAGCCTTCCTATGTGTAAAATTTGGTCTCAGCTCCAGAGGTTTCCACCAAAGAGACAGTATTTTGAAAATGTATGCTGATAATGAACCTGAGATAGAGATGCAATTTGTGTCACAACACCCTCACATGAAAAACTGAAGTCATCCAATTTATGATGATGTATTCAGCACTGATACAATAAAATAGTCACTCAAGTGCATTAATATTTGTATTGGCTGGGCTATTAAAAAAACTTGGTGATTAACATTGAACTTGTTTAAGATTTTTATGAAAAATATTCCAAATACATTTCTACAACATCAACATAACTACAGAGGAATATATCTCATAGAATCTCTCTGCTTTCACACCAAAGGGGGCTTGAAAGATGCATGCACCATATCCCACAAAAAAGTTGTGATTTATAAAAACAAAATTGATTGGAGGATGTGTCCAGAGCACCTTGAAAGACACTTGATGATTTCATTCAATCTTTTACTAAACTGTCGGTTTGCTTCTGGATCCACTTAAAGGACAACAGAATAGAAAAATCTGGCCACTATGGACCCAGCAGACACAGATTCACTCTGTCAAGCTTTAGCCACTTAAGGTGCTCTCGTTGCACAACATGAAAAGCTCCTTTTTGGAGTAGTGGACTCCCTGCAAACCCTAACTACTAGCCACTCTACTCTGCAATCAAATGGAGCAAGTCAGGTGAAGTAGTGGACTCCCTGTAAATGGTAAATGTTAAATGGACCTGTACTTGTATAGCGCCTTTCTAGTCTTCCGACCACACAAAGCGTTTTTACACTACGTGCCACATTCGTCCTTTCACACACATTCACACAGCAAAGGCAAAGCCCATCGAAACGAAACAAACACATTCAAGTTAAGGCCATACTATCTGCCCCATGAGTTTTCAGCCACCATTGTAGTCTGTTTACATTCTTCTATCGGCAGTAGCAGCGCACACCTGTGACGTCATCCACTCCACTGTAGTAGACCTGCAGACACGTCATCCCAGCGCATTCATCATAATAAATGGAGATTTTAACCATGCCAAAATCTCAAAGACAAACTTTACCCAGTACCTCACCTGTAACACTAGAGGGAAAAAGACCTATGATCTGCTGTATGCCAATGTAAATGTTGTGGCGAGGATAAAGTGAAAATAAACCTAATAATTTGACCAACAACCAAATTAGGTAAATGAACCGACAACGCCACCCTGGGAATTTCACCCAGAGAATTAATTTGGAAAGCACACAGGTAAGTTTACTCAGTAAGGCATGAGACGTGGTTCAGGTATTTATAGAAAAATATACAATTTTATTGTTAAATAGTTAGTTAAAAAGATTTCAGTTTCATTCATACAAAAGCAAATCTATACAGGGAAATCAAACAAAAAGGAGGGGGCTGGAGCCGAGTGCATGGACAGGGGCTTAGTGCGAGGGGGGGAACTCACCCAAAATAAGAAATCAACTCAAAAACACCCGACATACGTGACACACACTCAGTGAAGTGAAACCCGCTACCCCGGACCCAGCAGACAGAAGGGGATACCACCACCCGGGCACCAGCGCCGCCACCACCAGTCTCCAGCAACTAAAAAGAGAAATAAACAAATTGAAACAAAAGGGAAAATAATCTTAACCAATATCAATAACTGCCCACTTTAAGAAAGGGAAAGTAAACTAAAGACAGCAAAACAAATTTAAATAAGTAATCAATCCAAAATAACAAAATTACTCAAATAACCCAACACTCATTCACACACGCACACATGGAGGCCAGGCCCAGTTAAAACACACAGGCGTGAGTCTAACAGAGCTGCTCTGGCCGCAGACGCCAGGCCGCGGCGACCGCCAGATGAAGCCAAACAGAGCGAAGAGCAGCCCCGCAGCCAAGCGACGTGGAGACCGTCTCAGACCAGCAGCGTCGAGACTAGGCAAAGCAAAGCAGCAGCATTTGAAATAGGACAAAGCAGCAGCGACCCCAATCAGCTGATTGCACGTTACACCTAATACATACCATTAGCGTCACTACATTTAACCGTAAATACTGCGGTTGATTACTATACTAACACACATACCTGTTTAGGGACACTCACTCATTCGCACCGGAGGAGGGAGGGAGAGAGAAGACCGGCCACTGCTGGCATTTACCTGTGACCACACTAATGTTAGCCCTCAGACAGCATCAGCTACAATGGCAAGAAAGGGAGGACACTTACCACGCACAAACTATGCCGCACATACGGGACACACGGAGCAGCTGCCCTACAAACAAACACAAATGCCGTGAGCACACAGAAAGGACCGAGCGATTTTATACTGGCAAAAGACCTAAAAAAGAAACGAGAAACCATAAAACTAGTCCAAATTATTTTATTCCACAATACTAAAATAGTTGAAACAACTAGTGTATAAATAGCAAATGGCTTCACCATAACATAAAATACAATAAGAGATTGAAAATTTGCGAGAAATAGGCAACTTACACTGCAAGGAAGGTCAAACCTACAAACCAGTGAAGTGACCACTACCCTTCAAACATACCACACTGCATATCCCACGACTACTCCCCGCAGGTCGTCCCACTGCCTAATCAAAACAAAGACAGAAAATACAAGGAGATTCAGTTGGTTCAGATTCCCAGACATTCAGTGTCACTACACACAATATAAAAAGGCACTATTCAACCATCTACAGATTATTTAAGTTGTACAGTCTGTAAACACATTCGCAAAGCGCCTAGGCGAACTGGCTCAGGCAAAGCAGCAGTCTGGCCTTAAATCTGCAATAAGGGGAAAGGAAAACATAACAAAAGTCAGTCTCATCAGCTGACAACATACCTCAGAGAGCATGACCCTCCTACATTACCATACTGGTTTCAGTTACCTTGTTCATGTGGGGCTCTGCTAAAAAGCAATGCAACAGTTGAAAGGCTCTACTCTGGCTTAAAAGGGGAGATGGAAGAGCTGAGTCTTTGCCTGAAGAGATTTTATTTCCTCTGACCTAACAGGACGGTGCTTTAAATTTAGAAGCCAGCCCTCACAATCGCAATCCTACATACAGGCTAGCTGTTAGGAGGAGACAGTCCATCACCACCAGGACTGTGCAGCAGTGGTCGGTGGAGGTAGAGGAGGCCTTGATGGACAACCGACTGGGAACTGTTTCAGGATGACCACAGAGACGACATTGAGGGTCTCACCCCGTGTGTCACGGACTACATCAGGTTCTGTGAGGACAGCTTTATCCCCACCTAGAGGATTCGCTGTTTCCCCAACAACAAGCCATGGATCAACAGAGACATCAAAGCCCTGTTGAACAGAAGGAAGATGGCTTTCATGGCAGGAGATGAAGATGCCAAGAAAGACATTCAGAGGGAGCTGAGGAGGGAGTTGAGGAGGGCCAAAGACTGTTACAAGAACAAGATAGAGGGAAGCTGCAACAGACCAACACAAGAGAGGTGTGGGGGGGATGAGGAGCATTACTGAAATGAAAAGGGACGTGCCAATGAGCTAAACCTGTTCTTCAACAGGTTCGACTCACAAACCCCCTCCACCTCCTCAGGTACGCCCATTCACACTTTGGCTACCCCACCCTCCTCCTCCACAGTCCGCATCCCCCATGACGACAGTAACACCACCCCCCTCATCTGCCCTCAGCCCCCTCCACTCCCTCCCCTTTCCCTATCCTCTCCATTTTTCCACCCCACAAACCTCCACCTCCTCCCCCCACCTACCTCTCTCCACTACACCCACTCTCCCAAAGGACAGAGCAGGCTGTTTTTTCTGAGGAGGCTCAGGTCCTTCAACGTGTGCACTCGGCTAATACGGATGTTCTACCAGTCTGTAGTGGCCAGTGTCCTCTTCTTTGTGGTGGTCTGTTGGGGTGGAGGCATCGGCTCCTGGGGATAAATGGTAAATGGACCTGTACTTGTATAGCGCCTTTCTAGTCTTCCAACCACTCAAGGCGCTTTTACACTACGTGCCACATTCACCCTTTCACACACATTCACACAGCGATGGCAAAGTCCATCAAACAGAAACTAACTCATTCATACACATTCACATTCACGATGCTGTGCATCGGGAGCAATTTGGGGTTCAGTATCTTGCTCAAGGATACTTCGACATGTGGCAGGAGGAGCCAGGAAAGCCCTGCTTCCCATGGTGATGAAGCAGGCGGGAGGGACAGAGAGGTGGATCTGAGGGAACGTGAAGGGATGGTGATGTGGAGGAGTTTAGACAGATAAGGAGGGGAAAGGTTGTGGATGGCCTTGAACGTAAACAGGCGGATTTTGAAGTTTATGCGGAGTTTGACCGGGAGCCAGTGGAGTTGCTGTAGAACAGGGGTGATGTGGTGGATGGAGGGGGTTCTGGTGATGAACCGTGCTGCAGAGTTCTGAACCAGTTGAAGTTTATGGAGGTATTTGTGAGGTAGACCGAAGAGAAGGGAGTTGCAGTAGTCGATGCAGGAGGTGACAAGGCTGTGTACAAGAATGGCAGTGGAGTGGGGAGAAAGGGAGGGGCGGAGGCGATTAATATTACGTAGATGGAAATATGCAGACCGGGTGATGTTACTGACATTTGGAAAGATTGTGTGCTGTCAAGGATGACACCCAGACTCTTAACCTGGGGAGAGGGGGAGACAGAGGAGTGGTCGATGGTGAGGGAAAAACTGTCAGCTTTTGAGAGGGTTGATTTAGTACCAATAAGAAGAAATTCTGTTATCACTGTTAAGTTTGAGGAAGTTGGAGGAGAACCAGGATTTGAGCTCTGTGAAGCAGTCAGTGAGGGAGGAAGGTGGGAGAGTGGAATTGGGTTTGCTGGAGAGGTAGAGCTGGGTGTCATCCACGTAGCAATGAAAGTGGATGTTGTATTTGCAGAAGATAATGCCATGGGGAAGGAGGTAGATGATGAAGAGAAGGGGCCCCAGGACAGAGCCCTGGGGCATACCGGTGGTGACGGGGGACGGGTATTGGAGTTGGATGAACTGAGTGCGGCCTGAGAGGTAGGATTTAAACCAGTCAAGGGGTGTGTGTCAAATACCAATGGAAATTAATCTGTTGAGGAGGATAGTGTGAGAGATGGTGTCAAAGGCCGCACTCAGATCGAGGAGGATGAGAATAGTGAGTAAACCAGAGTCAGCTGCCAGGAGAACTTGTACAGTTTAGTTTTAGTTTTTTAGTTTTAGTCAAGTTAAATTTAATTTCCTACTCATATTTTGCACTCCATGTCCTACTTGAACAATGCATAGTGTATACTTTCATTTATAGTTTTTATATCTTCTATTATATTTTGTAATATTTTTATTTGTGATATTCTCTGTTTTGCACTACTTTGCCCTATTGCTGCTGTGTCAACCTGAATTTCTCCTAAGGGGGAATAAATAAAGGAATATCATATGTTATTTTATACACACACCGATGCACAGCATCAGGAGCAATTTGGGGTTCAGTATCTTGCTCAAGGATACTTCGACATGTGACTGGAGGAGCCGGGGATCAAACCACCAACATTCCGATTAGGGGATGACCCGCTCTGCCTCTGAGCCACAGCCACCTGTGAAACCTAACCACCAGCATCACTTGACTAGACTTCTCTCTCTCCCTGTCAGAGTTCCAGTTCAGTCTCTGAGTATGCTGTTGAGCTATGGCAGTGGGTGGGGTGCAGCCTTTGTGAATGCAGCAGGGAAAAGCTTGCCTGTCTGTGCATTCCCACTTCCAGCCAAAAGTAACTCTCTGTAGTAGTTCCGACAGCCCAACTGCCACATGCCTGCCCCTCAGTCCTTCTTCTCAATCCATCACTGAGGAGCCCATGAAATTTGGGCTGGCTCGTTTACTTCAAGCCGGGTTATGCATTTATTGTGGCAAAGTTGGTCATTCCCTAAGCTCCTGTCTCCATCTGCCAAATTGTGCTCATCGTTAACTGGAGGTTAATGAGCCATACCTCCACCACTCCACCAGCCCTTTACAGCCACGTGCAATTTAAAGCTCCCTCGTGTGCCACAATAATTCTGTTGACTACAGTGGATTCTGGCAGAGATTACATTTTTATTTTCAACATACCCTCTTACTCAAGCTGGAATTCCAGTGGAAACTTTGCTTGCTCTCAAGGATGTTAATGCACTGGATGGAAAACTCTTGACCTACCTCACTGTGCCTTTGAACCTCGTCTTCTCAGGTAACCACTGTGGGTCTGTTAAGTGTTTTGTCATTGCCTCCCCTCATGCACCTGTAGTGTTGGAACAGCCATGGCTTAAACACCAAAACCCCAGCATTGAATGGTACACTGGTTCAGTAGTGAGTTGGAGCACTTTTTGTCATTCCCCCTGTTTCTAATCTGCCCTACCTCTAACTCTGTCAGCTGGAGCACCTGTTTCTGAGCCACCTGATCTCTCATTAGTCTTCAGTCTACCATGACTTCGGTGATGTTTATTAAACACCAGGCCCAAACTTTGCCACTACACAGACTATATGACTGTGCTATTGACTTGCTTTATTTAACATCTGTTCTGCTATATAACCTGTCTTGTCCTGAAAGAGAGGGAAATACATTCATGCTGCACGAGTACTGACAGGAACTAGAAAAAGAGATCACATCTCTCCTGTACTAGCTTCTCTGCACTGGCTCCCTGTAAAATGTAGAATAGTATTTAAAATCCTCCTCCTCACCTACAAAGCTCTTCATGGTCAGGCCCCTTCATATCTTAAAGAGCTCATAGTACCCTATTACCCCCCTAGAACACTACGTTCTCTGAATGCTGGGCTACTTGTGGTTCCTATAGTCTCTAAAAGTAGAACAGGAGCCAGAGCCTTCAGTTACCAAGCTCCTCTCCTGTGGAACCAGCTTCCAGTTGTGGTTCAGGAGGCAGACACCCTCACCACATTCAAGAGTAGGCTTAAGACATTCCTCTTTGATAAAGCTTATAGTTAGGGCTGGATCAGGTAAGTCCTGAACCATCCCTTAATTATGCTGCTATAGGCCTAGACTATCGGGGGATTTCCCATGATACACTGAGCTCCTCTCTTTCTCTCTTTCTCTCTTTCTGCACACATTCATGTTCCATTAATCATGCATGTTACTAACTTCACTTCTTCCCCGGAGTTCTTGTGCTTTCTCGTCTCGCAGGTTCTTATCAATCCTGGTGGAGCCTCCTGCCATGGTCCTGCTAGATTGCCATTGCCAATACTGTTGTTACTGTACACCTCTCTCTCTCTCTCTCTCTCTCTCTCTCTCTCTCTCACCCCAACTGGTCGAGACAGGCGACCACCCACCTAGAGCCGGAGGATCTGTCCTAGGTTTCTGCCTTTTAACAGGCAGTTTTTCCTTGCCCTTGTCGCCAAGTGCTTGCTCATGGTGGTACTGTTGGGTCTCTGTAAATAATGTTATAAAGAGTTCGGTCTAGACCTGCTCTATTTGAAAAGTGTCCTGAGATAACTTCTGTTATGAATTAGTGCTATACAAATGAAATTGAATTGAATTGAACTTGTCACAAAGATCATACTCTTAGATAGATTTAATATCACCACAAAAAACAAGTATCCTCTTCCCTAATTGGCCCTGCTTTTGAGTCCTTGCATCAAGCAACTGTTT